GATTGATTCCTATAGTCCTGAGGGCCCCAACCCGGAAGTCTGCATCTTCCTACCTGATTCAGTTTAACTGTTAAGGATTTCATGGATTGATCCCATGTTTTTGTTTGGCCACCACTTACTCTTTTCCAACCTGACCTATATCAGCTAGTAATGGCCATCGGGGGAGGCGATGGTTAGGCATGCGCAACACATGACCTAGCCGTCTGAATCTATGTAAAATCGGTGGTGACAGTTTACTAACTACGTTGACTGAGGTATTAAGCAGCATAAAAACACCAAACGGCAGGGATACACATTTCATTCCAGAGAAAGCAATGATACAGCATTGTGAAGATACAAATGAGACGTGAAAGGAGCACAAAGAAACACAGCATGAAGTTCAGAAGTGCCACAACACGAAGATCTGTGCAGATGATGCGCTGAAGATAAGGCGTACTTGATTTGGCTATACAGAGATATCAATTCCCAAATTAGCATTCCTGTGCCAAGTTTTCGTCTTCAGCCGTTTCAATTTTGGTTTCGCGCTGCCTCCAGACAATGAAGATACAACCGCCTGCTGCTTTCGAGGAAGGAGACATAAGGAGCTTCTTGTAGGATCTAGAAGCCGTTGCTGAGTTGGTGGGAGCCAAGGGTCCGATGGCGAAAACCGTCGCTCTAGGGGTGCTGCAGATAGGTCGAGCAAAGGTGGCATATGGCAGTACTGAGTGGTCAAGTGGGACAGAGACCTGGAAGCTGGTGGTTGAACGACTGGTGTCGGAGTTCGAAAGCCCGAAGGACAACCAGCTGGCGGTGCAGCATTTCAGTGCCGCGAAGCACAGACCGAACCGAGACCCGCTAGTGTAGGCGGTGCAGCTGACGAATCTACTATGTCGTGCACTATCCACATTGCATGAAGAGTCGGAGTCACAATTTTTGGAGCCCAACTTCATCTAGGGTGTCCGAGACCACATTTCTGAGCAACTATAACTTGATTACGCTGCACAGCCCATGGATATCGTTGACCTGGCGAAGGTGACCAGACAGCTGCTTTTCACAACCGTAGGGCCACCAAAATTGAACGAACCTGAGCAGAAAGTGAAAGATTTGCAGTGTGATGTAGAGGCACTACGTGACAGGAGAGAATTCTCCTCTCTCTATAGTGTAGAGTTTTGACTAGTGTTCGTCTGAAGCTATTTGGACAAAAACTACTAGAATGTAAGTATTGTTCTTTCCATGTCAACTTTCGGTAAATGACCTCTGAAGACTACCATCTTCTAGGCGTTGCATGGCGATACCGACGAAATGGAACTATGCGTCATTTTCACGTTGCGTAGTACATTCAGTATTTGTATGTGCTTCGGTGAATGGCCTTAATAGGTAGGAGGCATGACTTTCATTGGTGCACACTACGAATGTGACGTCTACATATTGACAATGAGAAGGCGTTTCGTCGACTGCACGCCTCAACTTTATTTTCTCAAGGTCGAACATGAAGACATCCACTGAAACAACAGCCGCTTGAATTTCAGTTCTGGCATTGGGAGAAGATCAGACTATTGACAAATGATCTCAGTGGTTTCACTGATTGGAATCATTGTGAACAAGGAGGTTGCGTCAGATAACACCCTGAACCTATTTGAAAAGTCCACGCTGTACACACACCCAGCGAAATGAAATAAGTCTTTCTTGGTATGCACTTCTAGCCGTTGATTAATAAGTTCCCGCTTCTCTGGAAGCCAACGAGCAACCTTATGTTGGCAACAGTTGATCATCGAATGTAGAGGTCTCAGAAGATTTCTTCCATGTATACCTTAGAAAGTCCATATATGTGTGGCTAGAGGGAATGTCAGTGTAGTTGAAGATTGAGCGGACAGTTCATAGTTGTTCGCTCAAACCCGTTTCTTTCATATTTTGGCGGAGGCATCAATACACCAGTCATCGTCTCATCGGTCGCTGTTCAGAATGAAGATCAAAAACTGTCAGAAGTAATATCGTGATTTATTATTGTAATATTTGTTCTTTGACCTTAGTCTGTAAAACAAACATTGCTGGTTATATGTTGGCGTTAGAATAGAGAACTCTTGAGTTGCCAGTCAGTGTTTTGGTTTTCGCGTTGGTTAATACGAAGCGATTCTGAAAGTCTTCGAGGGGCAGCGTGTAGCCCAGCGAGGCAAGAGCTGAACATTAACTTTTTATGAGATTTGATTGACAGGGACCCTCAATGTAGCTAAAGATGGAACGATCAATTCATGGTTATTTACTCAAACCCAACTCTTTTTTTCGCGGGAGTCATCAATCCGGCAGTTATCGTCTCTTTTGTGTATTAATATTATGACCTTGCAGACTACGAGCGAATCTAACTTAATGCCCTGACCAATCTGTCCTAATCGCATGCCAACAACAACAGTAATACCACCGGGCATGCAAGACAAAGAAAGAAGACTGGACGTTGATACGAGAGCTTTTACTGTCTCTACAACAATCGTAAATGTTAAATCAAACTCTGTATTTATACAGTTAGGAAAATCAAGGTCACACTAAAAAATTATTAACAATCAATAATCATGCAGGTGCGAAAATTCAACATTGATGAATCACCAGTTTATATATAAGTCTCACCGTTCGCTGTTCGTTGGAAGAGGGAAAACTATCGGAAGTATTATTGTGATTTATTGTTATGACATTCTTAGACTTTGTGTAAATTAACTTAATGGTTGGATCTATATTGACGCAAGAATAAACTGTTGTTGAGTCGCCAATTTGCGTTCTGGTTTTTCGTGTCAGTTATTACGCATAGCTTCTGAAAGACTTCCAAGGACAGCGTGAGGTCTGGTGTAATAAGAGCTGGACATTGACAGGGACCCTCGCGGTTAGAATTCAATGAACGTATTTTTGCCATTCAATTTCTTCTTTAGAATATCTCTGCACGTGTCTGACTCCTTTTTACCTGCATCTGTCCTGTCTTCCTAACAGTCATCAACTTTAAACCTCAACATGTCATACAGCCCAATTTTCATCTTTGCGATGTGGTCATCTCTGTGCGTTAGCAACACTTTTTAGCCCTTGTCAAATCGCAGTATGACGATTTTGTCATCATTTCTGAAAGCTTCCAATGCCTGTTGATGGGCGTAAGAGATTATTTTAGAATATGACGTCGGTGAGATGAGTTATTGATATGCAACATCGACCAGCTGAGATATGAACCAGCTTGTCTTGTCCTCATCAACTGGACTAAGGTCGTTCAGCTGATACATTAATTTTTCTAATTCGGCTGCGACATCGGTTCTTTTGAAAAAATTATTCGGGATATGAAAGTTAAATCCAAGGGAAGGCGCACCCATTTCAATGCGACTTAAGTAAATACTCGACAGATTGCAGACAGACTCCTTGGAATTTTCTGGAAGATGTCATATAACTTCTCATTTTTCAGGGATTTCGACAGAGTTGTTGAAAAATTCGCACATATTTTCTGTCGAAGCTCTTGAGTGAAAGTGATGAATTTCATCCGGCATACTATATTCAAACTATTGACGGCACCATTGAAAGATCGGAATTCAGTTTTCAATTTTGAGATCAGAGGTTCTGTTGTGTCAGAATGCGATTTCGTAATACGTCGAAGGTTTTTGAGAGAGGGCGGCAATTCGTAATTACGAAGTGACTTGATGAGATGGTGAGGAAAGTAGTGAGACTGCAAGCAATTTTTCAGGAACTCCATGCATTTATTCCACTTGATGAATTTAAAGAAAGCAAGAAACAGCAGTGGTTTTCGCAGTCAAAATTTCTAGCTAATGTTTCCTCAGTGAAGTGGGAAGTGGATATTGTAGTCATGTAAATTCAATAAGTGGCGTATTGTCAGCAGTAAAAATAACAATAATTCTTAAAATTATGCGTTCTACTTTTGGCTTGATTGGAGCCCTCAGCAAATCTTAAATGAATACTTGATGAAAATGTATAAGATTTAGTGAAAAATCTACACTTTAGATCTCATGATGGCTCCATGTCAATATTACAAGAGGAGCCTACATAGTTCATAACTTCACCTACATAACACTGAGGGGGAAAAACTTTTATTCGTCCGTACTGGACTCAGTATATGGACTCTCGTGAAGTAATTCATGTATGCTCTTAACTTATATAGAAGAGACGAATAAGGCATTCTGAATCTTTTACTTCATGTGAAGTTGCAGTGCAACTAGATGAGCAACAGCATATATACGAACAAGCCAAGAAATAAAGTCTTCCGTAGCCTTTGAAAAACTTGTCTTTATTCTGACTAAAACAATAATCTTCCTTCATGTTTGAGCCTTAGTTATCTTCATGAAATCAGAGTCTTTGGTATTTAAATTCTTCCTCAAAATAAAGACCATTTAAAATATACGTTCACCAAATCGTCACATATTATTTTCACAGTGTCAATGCTCTGTGTCTCAAAATGGCAAGCAGACTGTGCCTAGCATATGAAAACAGAAACTAAAGCTGAATTAGCGTTATAAATGCTGACAACTATCAAACCACTTAAAACAATAGCGTTTCGTTAAGTAAGCCAAACATACTAGTCAAAATTTCATGAAAATTCAAAAATATATACTAAGATTTAAAAAGCTGTCTTCTTGAATCTGTTGCACTGCGTGGATATCGTTATCAATTTACATTTTCTGACACAAGTGAAGCAAGTGTAACGCAGGCTAAGCACATTACACCGCCCAGATTATGTATGTGAGAAGGGATTTTAGCTCAAAATTTCATTAATTAAATGCAGAGAAAGCGTGGATTATCAAAAGAAACGAACATCGGGTGCTCAACATGCGAGGATATGCAAAAACGTCACTCGTAACATTTCACGTTTGCGTTTCTGGCTCCTGATCCTGTTGAAGCGATAGGAAACAGTTTGCTTTATTGATAACACTTTAGGTTAGCTAGGCCTATAAAAATGTTTCATCATGATGAAAAAGGAGTGGACAAAAAAATTTATACATTGTACCATTTTATATTGAACATCTGAACGTTCAGCCTTGACTAGTGTAGTTGTTTTCGCTGAGCGGTATTTTGTGGTCACGACCTTGAGCACGAGTATGTAATTTATGTTGCAGAATGACCAGCGTTGGTCGTCTTATCGAGTGTGTAGTGCCAGTAAAATTGAATCGAAGAGTAAGTGATATTTCATGCCTGATGAAATTTTTTTAGTGGAAAAGAAGACTTTGTGCACTCGAGCGGACATCAACGTTTACAAGTATCACATTTTCGTTTTGATCTTATTTTTAAGATACACTGAAGCTGTTTGTATACAATAACGATGGAACAATCTGTCGCAGTCAGGACGTTCATGCGTATATACTAGGAGTAGATTCAAAGCATGATGGAACGATCATGTTTGTCTGTACGTACAAATTGCGATGTATATCATTTGAACACTTTGAAGAGATGACGAAGTGGGATGACATACTTAAAGCGAACTTAACGTGTAAGTTTTTTTGAAGTGTAATTTCAGTAGTAGTAACTGACGGTTTGATCAGTGTAATAAAGTTTTGATCGAACACCAGAAGGTCATTTACATACGTCTAGGCCTCAATTAGTACTTAATGGTCATTCAGTAACCATACCGTTTCATTTTAAACTGTCTTATATAGTCATTTAAATAAATTTAGCGATTGTTTTACTCTATAACTCTCAGCTACATTATGTTTCGTTATGAATTAATGTATACTTGGTATCCACGTCTGGCTTCAAACAGTGTAAGCATCTAGGCAGAACTCGTTGATTTTGAATAGATGTGTGTGTCTGGCGGTCTCACTAGTTCTTTTGTATACTTTAGTCTCTTTAAAGTATATTAATACTAACAAGTCTAAAAGTATGTTGCTGTGCTGTTAAAGTATTCAATTCAACGAATAGGTTTTAGTTATATTTAAAATGTCTGGCGAATGAATAATCATTGCCTAAAATATTTGCTTGTCACATAGCCTTAAGATCTGTGTTACCGCCACATTATAATTTGAGTTCTTCTCTGAACATATGAATTTCTCTGTTTTCCCACTATTCAGGTGACTCAGAATTGTACTGAATGCCGTTTAACATGCTACTAAAATGAAACTTACTGAACGTGCGCTCTTTCACATGATTTTATAATGAGTGCTCGCTCACTAAGACTTCATCCCTGAAAATAACACTTTTCACCAAGGTGATAGTAAAAATAGTGATATAATGGACTTTTTTCGGGAAAAGGATATGTGACAGGTGTATAATATAAGTGCGCAAATCGCTATGAGATAAAGATAAATTTAGCAAACCTGAGTGGACACAGCTCCGGAAAGTAAGTTGCGTCTGGCATAAAATGTATGGCGCTTAGATTTTCTTGCATTTGCTTTCCTGATGTATCAATATCAAATATGTCAGGAAGATATGATAGAGAAGATTTGTAGCTCAGGTGGATAATTTTGATGTGGTTTTGTTCTCTGAGCTGGATAGTTAGTTTGCGAAGCTTTCATCACCTTACTGGGTGACATCTTCAGCGCATACTTCAAATTGAAGTATGCGCTGAAGATGTCACCCAGTAAGGTGATGAAAGCTTCGCAAACTAACTATCCAGCTCAGAGAACAAAACCACATCAAAATGTCAGGAAGATTTGTGCATTGACGAACTACAGAATCACAAACAGTTAATTTCTTTTTACTTATTATGTTTGTAAAAACCAATCAGCTAATAACTGCATTTTCTACCTCAATGTTTACTGAGTACTGCAAACTCAATCGGATGACCGAATTTTCGTTCCAAAAAATTAATTAAATTTCAAGGTACGGCAAAATACATTTCAGTGTTGCATAAGACATTTGAAATTATTGGCCGTTGGTAGAATCTGTACATTCATTCTATTCTATTTTATTCTGTTAATTTACATTTTGTGTAATTCAGCATTTTATAATTCGCTAAGGTTGAACCATAGAACTATTTCAATCTGAGTTTGGTAGTTGTTTAGTTTTGTACTGAAAACTCATTTGGTTCGTCAGTCATGTCCTGCAATCTGAAGACAGTAATTGATTGTTTTGGTAAACATTTCTTACGACTGTGTAGCATTAAAAAGTATTAACTATACTTAGCGCAGTTTTCAATCATTTTTGTCCCGCCTTACGTCTGTTTTATTTTTTATTATAGACTTCATATTAGTTTTAATAATATCCATCTATCGAGTAGTACTGTATCGCGCAAACATTTTTCGAATGAATATGTGGTTCAGAATTTTTGATCGCGTTAAAAATACAGGAATATTAAACTTTCCGAATTTAGTTGTTTAAAAACAAGTTTTGAGTAATATTGAACAAGCTCACAAAAGAGTGCATAGCTTTTATTCAAATTTACTTGCAATAGACAAAAAGTTATAGCAAATGTCATTTAACATAGTTTTATTTTGGCTTCGCTATCACTGACTGGCTATTAATGCTATGTTATGCATCTTTTGCCCAAAAATGAGCTCAAGGCCCAGTAGTTGAAGACTTAATTCCCGTTCCATCTACTTCAGTCTGTATGGTTGGATGGTATTATCAATCCTCGCAGAGGAAGAGCTGTTCAGTAGAAATGATATCGTTTTGTTTTACATTCATTGGGAAATACAGTATACTATTATTAATTCCTTCTTGTTGTATTAGTAGTATATTGCTTTTTGTAATATTTAGGTTCATACTTCCATGCTGATTTAATTGTTGCTCCTAAAGACAGCCTTCTGCATAGTTATGCATGTCATAGAAAAAGATTTCGAATTACTGTCAATGGAATAAGTCAACCAACTGTTTCTCCAAAAAAATTGTGTTATGGTGTATCGAATACGTCAACTGATGGCTATTTACATGTGACTCGTGATCGAATATGTTTTACCACTGGACCAGGGTGTTCTCATCCTCGTTTACTGGCTACTTGGACTTTTGATAATGATGAAATTGTGCAATGTGGTACTGCGCGCATTCGAAATCCTGTAAATGGAACTTTTAACGACCCTCCATCGCTGTTCTTTCTAACTGCTTCTCCTGATCATCCTGAGGCTCCTGGATGTCACCTATTCCTGTCTGATCGAGCCGGTGATCTATGTGATATAATTGAACACACCAACAGAGCTGCAGTTTATCAAGCAGACTGGAGGCGGTTAACGTGCATGGCTGCCCTTATTGATCCCCCATTATCGCCGAAAGAATATAATTTAAACCAAAATGGCTATGTTTGTGATGCAACTAAATTAAACATGAGTTTCTCTTGTGCAAATACGATTAAAGATTTTGAAATTAGCTCTTATTGCAAAGGTTCAGATAAATGTAATGGTGATGAATTTATTGGTATGAGCATGAGATCAATACCTCCTGCTGAATCAAGCTCAAAAATTGAAGTGGTACAGGTAATTTCATAGTTGCTTTCCAACTCGTTTATCTAGTAAACTTCAGCTGTATAAAGTTTTGCTCGTTATTCTCTGCTCTGTACAATTAGCTGGTTAACTTGTTCACAGATTTCACCCACTAAAAATAAATCGCTATTTGTCTTCATTGACAACATAATTTGTAGATGTGCTAACACAGCGAATATTTTTACTTATAACTATAAGAGATAATCTCATTGTATTCCTTGTAGGTAATCGGCAACATGTTTAACACATGAGTTTAATTTATCTGCAAAGTAAAGTTTGATGTCACTTAACTACTCATTTACGAAATACATTATAAATTAAGTTTAGCTTCGTCTTCCTTCATGACTCTACATAGAAAGAAAAACGACCACATAACTGTAGCAACATCACTTTTACAGTGAACGTACTATATCTCTATAAGAGATGATGACTTAATTTTCAGTAGAGTTATTTCTGTTCAAATTTCTATGAAGTTATCAGAGAAGTACATGTTAAGTATGTTGTAGTGTTAAAGATTATGATTTTTTATATTTACCCCTAAATACAGTAAAAAAATTGTCTGTATTAGTCGAATTTCTACTGGAATTCTTCATTCGAACTGTATGTACAGTTCTTCTTAGTGAAATAATCTTAACAGTTCAGCAATTCAATTCTTAGATAAAACATACGGCATTTTTTGAATAATCTTATACGTTTTCGGTATTGTAAATAAGTTTTTTAAACCTATTTGGTTTTATTTTGGTAATGTCTGTCTGCATCTCTGCTAACTGTTCGAATAGGTGGGGATTCATACTGATAATCAGATTGATGAAGACTCCAGAAATACAACGGGAAGAATTGGTATAGATTCACATCCTGTTTCATTTTGTGATCGAAAGAAATGGTAAGTTTTATTTATCTGCTGAATTATTTTACCATGTGGTCTCAATAATCTGCATTTATATCGATTTAATTTTGTGATTTAATAATGGGGAAAAACAACATTTCGTGGTTAGTTATGCCATGAAATGTTGGGAATAAATCTCTTTAAGACTTTTGAGTCCTAAAAACATTCTACACCATTAAGAGAATCCGCTCTCATACTGTTTACAAGTGTTATGATTTCCTTACACAACTTAGGATAACAGACACCTACATAGAATTTTGTACCTACTGTGTTTTTTTGGTTATTGGTCCATTAAGAGTGTCGAAAACCCACCAGATTACCAAGGCTGACGGCTAAATTAACAAATAATCAATGCACTTTTGTTTAGTCTGACTAGTTACTATATAACTTCTGGTGTACCCGTTATCCTGATAAATATTCTCCGTAAAATCGTTCCTAGATAATCTGTTTCCTCTTTTATCTATTAAATTCACACGTCACACATTCCATTGCTTTCTATCACCACATTTTTTGTACTACTGACTTTATGATGTATCAATTTTCAAGTATTGGTTTTGCAGGGATTTTGTGTTTGATTCCATGGAAGATTTCATCATGAGTTGACATCAATTAGAGAACCACTGGAAAACCTGGGGAGTACTAGACAGCTGTTTCGTCCTAGTTTGGGACTCTTCATCAGTCTACGAGCTTGTCTTGAAACTAGAAGGTCCTGGGTTCGAATCCCGGTGGGTATGTACTGATGAAGAGTCCCAAACTAGGATGAAACAGCTGTCCAATACTCCCAGGTTTTCCAATGGTTCTCTAACTAATATCAGCTCATGATGAAATCCTCGATGTATCAATTCTATTTTTAAGTACTGTCAATAAAGCCCACTTTATCGGCTCGTTTTTGATTATTCCCGGGATTCTTCCCTACTCCTTCCACCTCATGTAATATATTACGAAGAACTTGAAAATATGTTCGAGGAAGTTCATAGGAAGTTTTTTACAAGATAATGCCAGGGGTAAGACGAGGAAAGTTCGTATGAAGATTGGATTTTGAATTACCTGAAAATATTCGTCTACTATTACTATCCAAATTACTCCTGACTTATGTTACCCGTGATATCCTATCGATAACTCCTTATGGATTTGCTAAAAGTATTTTCGAGTCCTTTGGAATATATATATATATATATATATATATATACATAGAGCTTCAAGTTTGAGTTTTAAAGTTTCAGCAGTGGTGGCGTATTTCTTTATGAGTTTGGGTTGATACCCTCACATCCAGCCTTCCCTCTTCATCGGCCTTACTGCCGACTAAGTGACATTGAGGAGTGCGTCGACCAGAAATAGAACCCTGGACACCAAGCCCATGGATGGAGAGTATTCTAGCACTGAACGACTGAAGAATATATTGTTTAAGTTGCAAGTAGGTGAGATGAATTCACCAAATAACCAAAAGTGGTTCCATGTCATTCATTCGATGTTTTGTTCAAGTTTACTAATGGAAAGAGATATGAGAACATTCTTATTTATTTACAAGGTACAATGAATGATTATGTGTGTTACACGTTGTTGTGAATAAATCTTGTCTTGTGTGTAAACCCTAAATTCGAAAATCTTCCGACTATGTGTACAGACAACAGTATACATATGTATATATGATTTTCTAGAAAAGTAAACAAAGTTATTTCTGTACATATTTCATCACATATAGGTAATTCTTTTCTTTTTTTATCTGTCTGTGTAGACTGAAATATACTAGACGAGTAATAAATACTTTTAAGTATCAACTCTTCTAAGTCGTATGTCTTCATTATACCTTTTTTTATAAAATTTAATTTATTATATGTTTGTGGGTGTGCTTATAGAATTTTCAGTACATTTCTTAATACTGCTCCATACTATTCTTATCTCATTTCTATCGTTGGTAGTGTATATGCAGTTCTTGTGGCCTCGATTGCTCCACCAACTACTGCTACTCATATTATATTTTCTTATTTAATGTCTGCGTACGTGTTTTCTGTGTATCACATGCTTCAGCTTAGTAATAATAATGGTAAATCACCATATTTATCTTCCGATCATTTGCTCTTTGAGTTTCACATGATATATATATATATATATATATAATAGTACAATAATAGGAGTTTCTATCATGGAAATTATGATTATACACATTATTAAATTCTCCGCATAGTTTCTTGCATAATGTGTTTACTCTCCGTATGGAATCTTTAAGTAGAATATTCATGGGTAGTATATCGTATGACACAGCTTTGTTCCACATGAAAGAAGACTCAATCTTCCACAAAATTTCCCCTCCACATTTTCTTCTTAAATTGTGTACAGCAGCAGATGGGAAGCCAATTAAAAAGGATTAAGCCAATGAAAACGGAGAAAAGTAGAGATGCATTATGCTGAATAAAAATATTAGTAATTCAGTGGTTTAATCAGGCTGTTATAAATTTCCGATTTGAAAATGGATAAAATTGTTTTATGCCTAAAAATAGAAAAACAACAACAATTTGACTCTTAGAATCTTAAAGAATAAGAAGGTTTTTAAAATCTCTACTTAATGGTGTCTAATTTTGTGGAAATTACTTACGCCTGTAAGGAATAAACGATCAGAATGAACTATCCTGTCTGTCTGTCTGTCTGTCTGTCTGGATTCAACATAGAACTTGCCACCGAAGTGCACCAGTTCGAGTTGCCATGTTCCAAGTAGCACACAAAGGTAGACAAGAAGATGAGTGAAGAGAATCAATAGAGTTTCACAAGTATAAGAGTGAAACAGAATGGGTAATGGTAGAAAGGAATATGAAAGACTACAGAGACTGAATACATCTGCGCTGGCCATTGACAACGATTTTGAGCCATGTCACTTATTGTCTCCAGCGATTGATTCCTATAGTCCTGAGGGCCCCAACCCGTAAGTCTGAATTGCCCTACGTGACTCAGTTTAGGATTTCATCATGAGCTGACATTAGTTAGAGAACCATTGGAAAACCTGGGAGTACTGGACAGCTGTTTCATCCTAGTTTGGGACTCTTCATCAGTACATACCCACCGGGATTAGAACCCAGGACCTTCCGGTTACAATGCGAGGTCGTATACCATTCAGCCACTGGGATCCGTTCCAATGGGTTTTGAATTCTAACTTCTGCCAATTCACGACATCCCAGTGGGTGCGTACTGCTGAAGAGTCCCAAACTAGTGCGAAACAGCTGTCCAGTACTCTCAGGTTTTCCAATGGTTCTCTAACTAATGTCAGCTCATGATGAAACATGAAACCAATCAAATCCCCACAAACCAACACTTGAATGACTCAGTTTAACTGTCAAGGGTTTAATGGATTGATCCCATGTTTTTGTTTGGCTACCACTTACTCTTTTCCAACCTCCACCTATATCAGCTAGTAATGGCCATCGGGGGAGGCGATGGTTAGGCATGCGCAACACATGACCTAGCCATCTCAATCTATGTAACTTTATAGCCTCGTCGATTGATTTTCCCTCTTTGCCCAACACTCTACGCCTAACATCAACATTACTTACCTTATTAAACCACCTAACGTGAGACAGAGATCGCAGACATCTATGATCAAAAACAGTCAACCTTTTCATGTCTTCAACAACTCGTATTGGCCATGTTTCAGAGCAATAGAGAAGGACGGAGCGAACTGCTGAGCAGTACACACGTCCCTTGGTTGATAGCCGGATGTCACGCCTACGCCAGAGATGGTGTAAGCTGGCGAAAGCAGCTCGAGCTTTCTGAATAATGAACTATCCACTTTCACTGTCTTCAAATTTGAATAAAGCATGAACAACACTCTTTGCAGAATTAAATGGTACCATCATTTATTTCGTTAGCTTCTCATTAGCTGCTTACAGGCCAAAGTCATTATTATGTGTATCTACAGATTCAATTTTAACATACTTGGACAGAGTTCATTTTTAAGCAAAAATCAATCAATCAATATATGCATACAGTAATAATAATATTAATTATATATTATTATATCAAACACTATTCCGATCAATAATGATCATACACAGTGGAGACGTTCGACATTACATAATCAGGTGAAAGAGAGGTGAAAAAATCCAGTTACCTGGGCACAACTACGGAAGATCCAAAGACTCACATGTCAAGTGAATCCCAGTAGAAATAAAGCCAATCTACATTCAACTTCATTTTAAAGGTGAAAATATTATAACAATTATCAACAGAAGATTGAGTATGTCACTAGCGAAAGCCTATCCTGCAGCTGAGCTGATTCCTGTTTATACAACAACTTGCTCTTTTCTGCAATCAAAAATCGACAGATATTCTTGTCATGTTAACTCCAAATGTATATGCCAATTTACATGTATCTTAGGGGCAGTTACAGAAAGAAGGCCATACCTCTGATTTTCTGAACATGTACCGAAAAGCTTATGTCTAAAGGGAACAAATGTTTTAAACAGTGGCATCTCCAGGCATTTTCTTGACACCGGTCATCAGGTGGTCGTCGCAAGATCGTTCAAATTTATCAATAGACGAAAGAGTTCAATTCTCTTCAAGTTTCCCGAAGCAATCTCCATAAAGCACCTGAAACCTGATTTACGAGTTCGAAAAGAAGAGGTTACCAGTCTTTCCTTGCCATAGTAACTGGATGTCTTTATTCTCTCTTTCATTTGATTGCTTAATGGCGAAAATTTCCATTGTGTATGATCATTATTGTTCGTCATAAAGGGTTTATTATTATAATCATATATTGACTTATTGATTTCCGCTTAAAAGTGAACTCAGTGCAAGTATTTTACAATTGTTTCTGTAAGCAGTTGATGGAGAGCCAACGAAGTAAATGATAGTACCATTTTATTCTGCAAAAACTGTTGTTCTTGCTAAATTCAAATTGACTAAGGGGAATAAATGTGTGAAATTCACTGTTTTCGTTTCCAACAGACCTCTCCTTCTAATAGGTGCTTAATTTATAGAATTAACGATACTGAATAAAGGTACTCATTTTTGTGATTCTGTTTGTGATCTTTCCACAGATTGATTTAAAACAATATTCACCTCAGGATTACTGCAACAATTAAGTATCTTATTTTTATTTATATTCTTAACTAAAATCTTGTTGATTCTACAGGTAACAAACAATGTGCAATATTCACCCCTTCTACATCCCTTTGTTTTCACTTCTTTCTAGGGTTGCTATGCATCCAAGACGACGTTTCTCTAGTCATCCTGTAGAATCTTGTAATACAGATATTGATTCATTAACTAGATGTAAATATAACTCAAAATTACCTTCGAAATTAATTAAAAGTAATGATAGTCGAGCTTCGGATACAATGAATTCAAATTCAAGTAAATCTGAATCACTTTCTACAGATCAATTTGAACCTAATAATTATATTCCTGTAAGTTTTGCTTATGTGAATTATCAAACAAAGACATTGATTAGTTAGAGTAATAAGTTTACAGATTTAACCTATATATATTCATAGTGTTAATAATCTATACATATTGATTACTTTAAAGATTAGAGTAAACGTTGACAACTTTATGCATGTGTTCGGTCTTTCCTTTTTCATCTTTTTTATTTTAAGAAATTTACTTGTTATCTTAGTTTCTTAGCATACTTAACATATGCTTATTAATATTTAATTATAATTGATGTTTTAAATGTTTTCTGCTATTTTGGAATGACAGCTTTGTGTGTGTGTATGTGTTGACACACGTATGTATGTACCCACACATACATACATGGACACAGGTTGGTTTGCATATCTACTATCTTTATGACATCTTAGAATTTGTTCTTGTTTTCACTTTTTCAACAAGCCTTAACTTTTAAATAAGTTTTTATTTTAGCATTTAACTAAATAAGTATTAACTTGTATTAGTTTATCTGATATAGTGATTGTTTCTTCGGTCTGACTTTTATATGTTCTATTGATGACAATAAGTTTTTGATGTTTGAAGGAAAACTTTAACTCCTGAGAAATAATTATCCTCGGCTTTCGTTGACTCAACTGTATAACCAAATTAGCTGGCAGTGGCGTTACATATCGCTAATTGACAGAATTCAAAAATTCATTGGACATTGGATTCCATCCTAGTGGCCTTGCTTCGCAACTTAATGGCCCTTGGTTTGATTCTTGGTGGGTTCATAGGTGCCTATTGCCAAAGAGAGCTCCAAACTAGGATGAAACAGGTGTCTAATATACTCTGTGGTTTTTAATAGTTCACCAATTGATTTCATTTGTTGATCTAACTCATTGCTTTATCCATCTACTACTAATAGTTATCTGTTATTTAATCGATAATTGTCCGACACCATGGGTCATTTATCCACTATTATTAATAGTTAACTAGGCAGGCCTAAAATGTTATCTCATGTGACTAAGCTTCATAACTGTTTCAAGGTCAATGAAATGTTGTGACAATACGATCGATTGAATTGATGAACTGACTTTATAACACTTATTTTTGAGCAGTGATCATCACCATTACACACACTAGTAAGGTTGCATAGATGTCAAACTTTGGTGAGTCGTGTTTTTTGTTGTTGATGTTGTTATAATTTTATTAGAGTACATGGATAGAAAATAAACTAAGCATGTGATTTTAGTAAGAGAATTTTCATGCACTTTACATTGTTTTCATTTGTGTGTATGTGTTGTTTGTGATTGTGTATGACTAATACTTCACTATTATCTGATTGGTAAACTCTGAATGTATGTTAGTCTCACTCCACCATTGTGTATGTATGTTTAATGTTTGCAATAATGTGCTATGATTTCAACTATCTTACAGATTTATTTCATCATCATTTGAACATCTCTATTTTAACTGAGAGATTGATGTATAATGGAAGTGATAACATTATTTTTAAGAAAAAAAAGGAAACCAAGTATTGGTTTGTAGGGATCTGATAGCTTGGATTTCATCATGAGTTGACATTAGTTAGAGAACCGTCGGAAAACCTGGGAGTACTGGACAGCTGTTTCGTCCTACTTTCGGACTCTTCATCGGTAAGCGCCCAGCGGGGTTTGAATCCAGGACCTTATGGTTACAAGTCACTGGGACCTGATCCAATGGTCAGTCCATGAATTCCAACTTCTACCAATTCATGATATATCGCGACCACTAGTCAGTGGTTTTGGCGATTATCTGTCCTCACTCCGTAATTGCTGGCGTTTACTTGTGAGATTTTGAACTAATCATTTATTGAAGTCGTTTGTCAGTCTTTTCGCCTTCCCATGTAAGATTGATCTCACCATCATTATCAATGAAATAAATTTATAAGATCGTTGGTCTTTTCAATCACAGCTCCCGACCGAAAGCTGCTACCTTTACGTGGTGGTCGGGCTTGAACACCGCAATGACCTAATCAAGCTATACTGGCTGAGATTTATGTCTCTTGAGGTTCTACCATGCCAGAAAGGTTGTTTAGATAGCGGTTAAACAAAAAGCAGCTACCCAATCCAACGCTATGGTATATACAAACTCATAAAATATCATGCCGGATCGGTCGGGGCCCGGATTAACAACGACCACACTTCTTGCTGCCGTGTCACAGGGCAGGAGTGATAAATATGCTACTGAGACACACTAAACAATAAAGAACGAACAAAAACAGGCCGCGTGTGACCGACCTCAAGCAGTTGTCCCCTGGGCTCTGCGGTCACGCAACCAACTTCCACGGTGTGGGCAGCCGGGAAGTAACAATCGCCCTTACAATCCGAAATGCACACGAAACCTCTCTAATCGCAGCTGTGTATTATTATTATTATTTTTATTAAAGTTTTAGTACTGTGACTCGATCTATGCCTTATACTTAGGCAAAATTTAGGGTATACCTGACTTATATACACTTTTTTTTCTTTGAAAAGCATTTATGTGGCTAATAAACTAAATCATAAGGTAGCAAAAGAAAACTCTGCACAACATTCAATCAGATATTACATTACAACCATCTGCTCTTCAGACAGTGATTAATGTTCACAAAAATTTTCAATAGTCTAATAACATTTCACTTCGTTAGTAAGAACTCAGCTTACATAGATTAATTTATCATGAGCTTAAGCTATGAGTCACACTTTTTGTCGCATCAGGCCGGCTGGTGATACTATCCAGTAGCCTGGGCTGTAACAGATGAAGCAAGTTTAGAGGTAGGGGCTAATTTTCCAAAAGTCAATTTTTGAAGCCAATAAGTCCATTTCAGGATATATAAATACATTAAGACTTCAAGTATAAACACTGAGATTTGGTTAGGAAAATTCTTGCTTGACAGGAAATATTTGAGCTTGAACTTCGTTAAAATGCTATCTGGACTCCATGCACAAAAACCAAGTTGTCTTTCTAGGTACTGCCTTCGATATAATTTTAAACTTTCGGTAGTCCTCTAATTTATTTGTATTCATAATATTTAAATCTCTCCTTCATTAAAGTTGGGAATGGCTAAAAACCCTATAAGCATGATCAGAAAGTAATCGTTGGTCTGTATACAGTTAAGATTACAAGTTTAATAATAATGATTTACTTTATTCCAGAAACAGTACTTGTGATACAGAATGGAATTTTCAGCATTAATCACAATATTGCATCTAATTTTCTCAGAATTATAAAAGCTTAAGACATTTTCTATAACTTTTTCTAAAGATCCTTATATTTTATCATTGAAACACAACCACTGGAACTACTACTGACGAATAATTTTCCACATTGTGTCATCTGGTATATTTGTGTGCTGTTGCATTGCTTCAATATTCGTTTATGTCTAAATTGATAGAATAATGAAATAAAAGATCTATGGTCAAATTCCTACAAGCCAACTCTTGAAAATTAATCTGATGCTCGCCAGTGACTGTCTACACGACGAATTTGCCTGGAGTTCCAGGGAGAAAACATGACCAATAGAATTCACTCGGCCAGAAGTGAGGAAAAATACTCGCTGATGACATCGGCTAGTGGTCGTGCTAAAGTTGAGAATCGGTAGAAGTCAAAGTTCATAGGCCACTGAGTTGGATCCCAGTGGCTGAATGGTCTATGTGCTCTCCTTGTAACCTGAAGGCCGTGGGTTCAAACCTCGGTGGGTGAGTACTGCGATAAGTTTCAAACTAGGGCTAAACAGCTGTCCAGTACTCCCAGCTAGTTTTCAATGGTTGTTTAACTGATGCCAAAGCGTAGTCAAACTTGAAGCTAGTCAAATACCTACAAACTAACTTTTGAAATATAATAGCCATAAACTTCCATATTTTTAGAACTGTTTGTATTCTCTATTTTAAAATTTACTCCCTAAATGTTCTGCACCTTAACTCATATAAGTTCAGTGGATGTTTATTATCCTATGTCTTCACCGCCCCTTTTTGAAACTGGACATATGTTTCAATTTCGGAAAATAAAAATCTCACGATAGTTACTGTGTGTCTAGTTATGGCAAATGGCAGGACTGGTGTTTTGTCCCGTTTGGACTCGTCATCTGAATGTGCTTACCCTCATCCAGTGAGTGATAGTATTCCCACCCCTTGGGACTTAGACCCAGTACGCATCTCTTCTAACGATAATGCATTATCCTCTAAGCCACAAGAAATAACTCTTCTGCAAGTGGTATAACCTGAAATAGTTTATTCGTGTGTGTGATTTTCTGGGGATATATATCTGGTCGCATTAGTACGCTCCGTATGCACAAAGAAAATTCATAAGGTTAACGAATGCTGTTGATTGCTCAATACCTATAATGGAGAACCACCCAGTTAATCAGAATACAAACATTAAGGTCAGATTCCACATCTTAATTCATATTTGGATGAATGTAGGCTTTTTACTGTTATTGTTGACCAGTAAAGGTGTCTTAACTGAAGGTTACTATTACGTGCGAGTTGGGGAAATAGGTGTAGAAAAAAATAAAATATAAGATTTAAACAATTGATTCTGATTGGTTATTTATTCTTTATTTGATCGGGGTAATGCAGATAGTGTTTTTTAAAAAGGTTATTTTACTCAGTGGTTGTTTTTCTTCCATTATATTAAGTCTTATTGTTCATACATTCTAGCCTTCTTTTTCACTAGTCTAAGTACCTGGATTTTCATTGTTTATTTTGTTTTGCTTTTTGAACTATCTACTCATGGTGGTCTAAATCAATACACATGAGTCATAGGTTCGATGAAGTCAGTCTGTCAAAATAATCACGAATGTTCAGCCATGTGATTGACTGCCTGACTGACTCATGTGATGCAGGTGTGCAAATTACAATGTGTAGGTTAGCTGGTAAATATAGTCAGGCTGTTGTGACTTTTTTTCAAACCTTGATTTCTACGTTAAAAGTAAAATAATGTTTTAATTCAATAAGAATAAAATTGTATTTTAATACTTATTTTTGTGAAGGATCTGAATGATTCAGCTTTCTGATTGACAGTATTAAAAATGCACGCAAATGTCCAGGTTTTAGTTCATTGGCATATATATATATATATATATATATATATATATATATATATATATATATATATATATAATATTCCCATAGTAAAATTTAGAACAACACATTTAAGCGAACAATATTGTGGTTTCAATTAGACTCATCAGGCTTAACTCTAATATATATAAGTTTACAAATAAAAATTAAAGATAAACCAATCATGGTGTTTGTCTATAGGATAATACGATGGTGAAAAGAAATTGTGCAATTAGTCATAGTAGTAATGCTAATTTTTTAAAATTTCCTTCACGTTCCCAATGGAGTATAGGGCCTCAAGCTAGTGGCTTGAAGTTTCCGTAGCAGTGTTTATTTAACAGGATGGGGTTGTTAGCCTCATGCCCAACCTTTCCTCTTTACCAGTCTTATTACTGATTTAGCGAAGTAAAGGAGTGCGTCAGCCGGGAATCGAACCCTGGACCATATGCATGGTCGGCGAGCGTCTTAATCGCTGTGCCACCGACGCATAGTAATAATAATAATGGTTTTATCAATAATGAGAATGAAAAAGTGAGGCAATCTGTGATAACACGAATAATGAAAAACAGCATGATTAAACAAACAATTGTTCAAGTAGAAGAAGTCGATAAAGGCTAATAAAAACAAATGAACTAATTAAGTAATGCTAGATTCTAAAGGAAGTAAATGAAACACGTTTTTAATGAAGATGTGTTAAGATTAAGGGATGATAAGAAAGGGGTTGAAAATATAACTAAGGGGTGGTGTAGAAGTCATCAGTTGGTTATGTCTTAATAGACCAAGGGAGGGATAGTGGCTGTACGAACTTCTTTTGAATGCACAGTTTAGGTTTCATAGTTCGAATGCCTATCGCCTCAGCTGTTTGCAGTAGACGAATGTGAAGTCTATTGGAAAGATTCGGTGGGATACGATGAATTACTTTGAAGGCTCTCGTTTTATCCACTACATGACCACTATGAATTAAATGTGACAAAATTGAGTTACGGATTGTTTTTGTCTGTCCTTTACCAAACCACCATGGGAGATGTTCACTAACACGTTGGCTAAGGTGTCTAGTAGTACGCCCAACATAACTGTCACCGCAGGTGCAGTTGAATTGATAAATGCACATAGATGTGGCAAAACTATCAAGCTTATCCTTGGCTTGCGTTTATTTTGTCTTAACTTAGCTGTGGATTAAAGTACAGAATGATTTTCCCTCGCTTAAGCACTGAACATTCAGATAATACATCCGGGTTTCGAGTCCTGTCCCACTCTCTTCATTTTTATTACCTAATTAGTATCATTGGCTCATTACCTAGTTCATGAAAACTTTATCCGATTAACTAACTGTACAATCCCATCGTATGATTGTACACTTCATTTAATATGGCCTATAGATGTTTTAGAAGCAAAACAGGTAAATGCGTCGTTTTTGAAAGGAAATATAAGTAAGAATAGTGACCTTAGTTTACAACATGATATGTGGATTAATGTGTTTCTCAAAATGCGAATTCGCCATGTGATATTCTAACATATATCATATTAGTATTTAATTGGTGGATAGTGACTAGCAGTGGAATCCAGGATGCGCATTTCGTCCTACTTGGGACTCGTCAACTGGATGTACCCGCATTTTTTGGATTCCACTGCTAGTCACCATCCACCAAATAAATACTAACTAAATGCCCAGGCATCGTTGAAGCATCTGCACAAGAAGCCGACATGTCAACCTGAGACCGAGCACTTAGGTCCAATCGATCGACAGGAAAGTCTGAAATTCAATTATTTACCATATTATATTATATATAATCATTCTTAAAAATTGTGTTTTTCATCCTTCATCTTATTACTTTTCATGCCATTAGGACAAAGTGAAAGCACAATCATATATGTGCTCTAGTCAGGAGAAGTGTAGTCATTGTCATTGGAGACGGTGAGTAGAATTTTTAACACATTAGTTGTTTTCTTATGACAGTTGATCAATAATTTGTACCTTAATTGTTTTTAAGTAATTCACCACCCTTTAAAGACAACAATAAATGTTATGACTTTTGGGTAAATTTTATTTTCCGGTGATTGACTTGACGGGAATGTTCAGCCTCTGTTGAGACATGGAATCCTGATACAAACTCTTCGACGACATCTGAGGATTATCACGATGTCACTTGGTGTATGGTGACTAACAGTGGGATGCAGGATGTACATTTCATCCTCTATGGGATTCGCCAACCAACTGGGAAAATCAAATAAAAGCTGATATCATTTGCACAAGAGATGAGTAATGTGGTCGAAATGGTCTATTTGATAACCCCTTGCATATTGAAACGATGGGTGCTGCGTTCTACTCTCAGTGTCGACCATAGGTGATTTCAAGTAAATCCAACTGACTAGTCTTAAATGGGATGAAATGTGCATTCTGGACTCACTACTAGTCATCATCCTCTAAGTAATATAAGTGTTATTTGATATGTGGATCCACATCTTGTTTGGAAAGTGAACCCATCAGAGTTGCCTTATACATATACATAACTAATAGATTTATCCCTTCTGATGCCTACATCACTGGCCCGTACATGTAGTATTCCTTACTGCCTGTATATATCCCATTGTTTCTTTGTGTAAATATTCCTTTTCCGACTGACCTAACTGTGTGTTCTCGACCAAGTAGCTGACTGAGAAACCAAGTAGTCGTTGTATAACGTTGGTGGTTGACAAGTCATACTCGTGATCATTGCGTCTGTTGCTATCAATCCAACCAAACGTTACGAAATATAAAATTATTAGGTTGAATATGCGTACAAAACAAGGCTAATACTTATCTTGTTTAACGTCCTTTGCCTTACTTGAAATCGTGTTGTGCATGAAGTGTTCGTGCATCAAATTGCAAATCACAACATATAGAATAATAAAGCATTTCTTTTCTCTAAGATTTAGACTTTTCTTTTACATCTTTTAATTTTTTTTCTTTTGTAATCAGCTTCTGTCGAAAGCCTGATTACTTCATTTAAGTTTTACTGATCTACTAATATTTGCAACAGCAGTTTACGATGAAGCTTTACGCAAATGTTCAATAATACCAAAAGTCAACCAGGGAATAATCTCGTTGACTTAGAATATGCAGACGATATAGTCCTTCTAGGCGAGGACGCTGACAAAATTCAGAGTCTTCTGAACACCTTGAGCTGCTATCTACGAATGTTTGGAATGAGATTAGCTCCCGCCAAATGCAAGATGATGCTACAGGACTGGACTACACCGACTCCTAAATTAGAAATAGGAAGCGAAGTAATAGACCACGTTGACCGCTTCACTTACTTGGGTTGATCTCTGATGAAATCTCACCACGGATTTAGAGGGCTAGTTTCGCATATGCCAGTTTACGCCCTCTCTGGCGTAGACGTGATATCTAGCTGGCTGACGACCAAAGGGCGTGTGTACTGCTCATCAGTCCGCTCCGTCCTCCTTTATGGCTGTCAGTGAGACCTGGCCATTGAGAGTGGAAGACCTGAAAAGCTTGGCTAGCTGTCTTTGATCATAGGTGCCTGTGGTCTATCTCCCGTGTGAAGTGGCATAATAAGGTGAGCAATATTGAGGTTAGGCTTCGGTCGAGTGCTAGGTAGGTGGGAGGGGAAATCAATCGACGAGGCTGTGAAGCTACATCGACTGAGATGGTTAGGACATGTGTTACGAATGAACGCCTAGTCATCGCCTTCCTCGACCTACCGGCAATGTTAGCTGATATAGGGTCAGGCTGGAAAAGAGCTAGTGGCGGTCAAACCAAAACATGGCCTCATCAGTCAATGAAATCCACAACAGTTACTTTAAGCCCGGAGGAAGGTGTAGACTTCCGGGTTGGGGTCATCGGGACGGTAAAAGCCAATGACTGGAAACAATCGGTGACATGGCTCAAAATCGTCCTAAATGGCCGGTGCAGATGCATCCACTCCTTGTGACTTATGATTTCCAATGAAACTGTTTTGTTCTTCGTCATTACTATTCCTTTGTTTCATATCTTTTTACTGTCTTTATTTTGCATTTCTTCTACTTTGTTGTCTTGCATTGTGTGGTACATGGAATGTGGCGACTTGAACTGGCGCACATCAGTGCAAAGTTCTATGTCGAAATCAGACAGACAGACAGAATACCAAAAGGAAGAGGAGATTATCACATAATAGTGTAATATAATGAACATTTAACACTAAAGTAAATATATCTGACCAAATGAGGAAAAAGAAAATGTTCAAGTTTATATGAGAGATAGTCACTAAGCATTGATCTGTACTAAGATGAGTTTTATCATACTGGGTTTCTAACCTCTAGCTTTTCACCTTGTGATAATAAGATCTTGGGAGGGTAAGTCAAACGGCTTAAACTGCCTATCAGTGAGTAGTGTTATCCAGTATTTTAAAACTAAATAACTCACTCTAGTCCTACTTTATTTAGTATCTATGTAGAGAATGTCATTCATGTAAATAGAAAAATTTTACAAACTCAACGAATACTGTTGAATACTGTGTCATGTAGACATTAGTTGTCGTACTTAGTTATTAAAGGGAACTAATGGGCTATTCAGAATATGAATAATAAAGTTAGGTTGCTCAACTTGAAATGTATCATTCAACTAATTACCAACAGCACTTGCAAATCTTTACATGAGACTTATAACAACAGCCAATAACTTTAATTTTGCTCATGAATGTTTCCCACATTATTCCGATTTCAAGTTGTTGTACTATAGCAATGATAACATAGTAGGCTTAATGCATTATTTAACAATTTTATTCAGTACGGCTTGTGAGTTTAGGCCTTCGAGTGTTTCCATTTCAATTGGAACATCACCCCTAGGGTGACCACTGTTCATTTAACAGTTTTATTATGCCAATAAGGCTTCATAGGTAGGTCTGTTCTTCTGTTGTTTTTAATTATTTTCCTGATTACAAAGCACGTCAATTCATTATGTTATTACTGTAGGTAGATGTATAACTTCGACAGCATGTTAGAATATGTTAACTGGTATCAAAGGAGAGCGACGCTCAGGAAGACTTCGTGCACAGATGTATCCACTCCTTGTGACTCATAATACCCAATAAAACTATATGGATCTTCGATATTACCATCCTGTTTGCCTCATATCTCTTTTTACTGTCTCTATTTTGCATTTCTTTTTAATATCTTCTCTTGCTTTGTGTGCTAATTGAAGTGTACCGACTCGAACTGCTGCAGATCGGTGCAAAGTTCTATGTTGAAACCAATCAGTCAGTCAGTCAACTGGTATCGAAAATGGTGTTATCTGTACTTCTTGTTCACAACACATCATACCATTTTCCTTTGAATGTAATTTCATTTTCTCATCTTCCTTTTCATTCTGAGTCCGTTAGTGCCTAAACGGAGATATGTGGAAAAATCACTAAATGAAGATTAGTGAACATTTTCTAAATCTGAAAGATGACAAGGTGCGGAAACATATATGACATTGTAGACGATCTTAACACCCCAATTATAAAATTTAAACTTACATGCGTTGTCCAGATCAATCTTCAATGATTTCATAGATTAGTGTGTGTATCATGGCTTATTCTGACTACTTCTAACTCCTCTTTCAACTTAATCCTAATTCATCAGTTATTTATCGACTCAGAATAGTACAAATAGACTAGGGTCCTTAATTTTCTATCCTTGAGTCCATTTATTACAATGCCTTCATGTACTGTTTTTTCTTCTGTCTGTCTGTCTGTCTGTTATAAACTATTATTTATTAACACTTTCACATCTCTACACCAGCTGGAATACGACGGTAATACAACAATAATTATGCATAATTTTAAGACATTATAAGTTGTAAATACCACTGAGATGGTTTGCTTCTGGACTGATAAAATGATGCAGATAACATTAATTACTGAATTGTGTATCTAACCCCTTTAGCATGTGATAATTTATTAACTTCTCTAACAATTTTGAAAACATGGTTTGGATTGTTTGTGCAAACATACGTCATTTATCAGATTTTATCATTATTTTTTGTATGCAACGTCAGACAGGTGGGAAGTTATAGTTTGTTACCATAACCTGCTATCTATCAATCTCTTTGTAATGATTTCAAACTCGATTTTGCTTGTTTGGCTGATTATATTTCCGCATAGATGTAAGTGTCTAAACTGGCTTTCAGTGCTTATAGAATATCCGAGTGCTGACTGAGAGAACACCATATGATCACTGTCTTATTTTATATACCTGTCTAATAACATCTGAAATTGACATTCCCTATTCACCCAAAATAATGTTGCTGATGGAAACATTATATGAAGCATGACGAGAGATTCAGTGCGGAGTACTTGCCGAATTCATCAACTTAGCTAACTAAAACGTGTTTTACAAATTTGAGTCGTCGTTCCTCTGAACATATAATGTTTACTGAGATGTCATTAGATTAGAAGGCAATTAACAGCACCAAAAAGTAAGTAGGATATCAATGCAACAACGTTAATTGCTGTTGATCTGAGCCGTATGAACTTATTAGCTGGAAATAACTTCAGTGTCGTGAAGTCATCCTCAACTAATTTTATATTAAGTCATCAAAGATTTGTTACCGCCATGTCTTTATTGCTCTGATTGTATTTTTCTCATCTTACAGCTTTTTTAATAGCTGAGGTATTTCTTTTTCCATCCCATTGTATTTTCTCATGTTAACACCTATTTTACTGAGTCTGTATATCGTATCACCGTTACCCAACGAGTTATGTTGATTGGCATGACTGACTGGTTTCAGCATAGAACGTTTCATAGAAGTGTACCAGATCAACTTCCCACTCTCCATGTATCACACGAAGCAGGAGAAGAAAGTAAAGAAAGATTTGACAGACAGATAATTAACAGAAGTGTGAGGGAAAAGGAGTAGTAATATGAAGGAACAGTAGAGTTTTACTGGACATAATAAATCATAAAGAGTGAATGCATCTGCTCCAGTCATTGAGAATGATTTTGAGCTATATCACCAACAGTCTCCAGCCTTCATTGGTTCTTAACATTGCGAGGACCCCAACTAGAAAGCCTACACCTCCCTATGCGGCTCGCTAGCTTAAACTGTTATGGATTTCATTGACTGATGAAGCCACGTTTTGGTTGGACCACTACTAGTCAACTCTTTTCCGACCTGATCCATCCTATGTCAACTAATATTGCCCATCGAGGAAGGTGACGGATAGACTACGCATGCGTAACACATGTCCCAACCATCTTAATCTGTGTAACTTCACAACCTCGTCGATTGATTTTCCCTTCTCACCTTTCTAGCACTCAACCGATGCCTAACGGCAGTATTGCTCACTCTATTATACAACCTAGCATGATATATAGAACGCTCCTGACAGAAAGTTTGCTTGGTTAGTTATTAGTCTAGAAATAGCTATCTTTCCGAAGTAAATAGTTTGCAGTGTAATGATGGAGATACAAGGAAGTGACAATGTACAATCAAAAATGCAGTTATGCTCATTTTCACCTCTCAGTTGGAAAAATGAACGCAAGTAGGATTTACATCACTGATAGTGAAGGTGCAACTTATAGATGAAAATTGCGAGCAACATATGCTGAAAATGTTATCAATAAATATCACACTATGAGTGTGTGTATATTAAGTACATTATTCTATCATCAAACTCTAAGACACTTAAATAGGTAGCCTCAAATGTACATTTTTTGAACTTTCAAATCATAAAATTACTCTTTTCTCTCACAAATACGTCACAAAGGCAATTTTCGTAACATTAATATAAGAATAACACTTGTGCTCTGTGGTAGAGTTTAATTCCATTATGGGTAGATTTTTGTTTTGATAAAGTCTCACAGTGTTATACAGTACTGTTTACTGATCACGTTTCGAGCACAATTTATTGCTCATAATCATATCAAGGTACTCACACGACTTCCTAACTTCATTTATATACTTCCATTATTTTTCACTTGATTTGATTGGCAGTAGCATTTTCCATATTTCAGGTATGAGTGATGAATCACTCCTATTGCATGTGTTCGGTGTAGACTCGATGAACAAGGATTCAGTAATCAACCTTTCTCTCCACCTATCTAGATTACTTTTTAGAATTTTAACCCTCTCCCACCCTATTGTGTGGCTGTGTGTTAATGCATGCATTGCAATTGCCGAGTTTTTTTTCTAAATTACTTATCTTTTCAGGGTCAACCATTCTGACCTTAGCCAAATTCTTATGTTTCGACAATCTGACTACCCCTGACCTACTAGTTTGACCTATGTGTGTAGTTGACCCCGCTCACAGTCATTGCAGGGTATTTTGTAAATTATATTATTTTGTCTAATTGGGTTAACGGCGTCCTTTAACCTACAGAGCTTGTCCCTGAGTGAGTTTGTATGTTTGAATGGCATCCTAATTCCTGCTTTATTAGGAATCCTACTTAGGGTCCCAGATGTCCCCTGCTTATGTGGTAAAACTACTGTAGATGCCTTATATTCTTTCTTATTATGTTATGTTATCATTATTAGTTTCACCATTATTTTTATTTTGCTTCTGACCTTTTTTGATATTCCTAGTGAATTTTATAGGCTAGTTATTTAACACCAACGCCTCTTCTATCTGTTTTATTTCATTATTTAGGTCTTTCTTTGTGCTACTTAGTGCTACTGCTCGGTTTGTTAAACACTTCACTAAGCCTGCCTTAACAATTAACGGATGAGACAAATTAAAGTCTAAATATCTACTAGAATGTGTTGGTTTTCTATGAACACTAGTGTGCAGTTTACCTTCTTCTATTCGTTTTATTTTACAATCTAACATAGCTAATTCTCCTTGTTGATTTTTAGCTTCAAATGTGAATTTTATTCCTTCCACTAGTGAGTTTATGTGTGTCAAGAAGCTAGAGATATGTTCTGTTTTTAACACTGTGAATGTGTCATCCACATATCTCCACCATATTTTTGGAGTAGGATTAAATGCATTAAGAGCCATATTTTCCCAAATGTCCATAAATATATCTGCTTCGATAGAGGATATTGGTGATCCCATTGCTACACCTTCTGTTTGTTTATATATTTTACCTTGGAATTTAAAGACAGTAGATGTGAGGCATAACTGAATTCCTAAAATAATTTCTTCATTGGGTAGCTTCGTCCTGTATGTGAGTTCAGGATCTGCAGTTAGTTCCTTTTTAACTCCTCAGCAATCGCAATGCATGCATTAACACACAGCCACACAATAGGGTGGGAGAGGGTTAAAATTCTAAAAAGTAATCTAGATAGGTGGAGAGAAAGGTTGATTACTGAATCCTTGTTCATCGAGTCTACACCGAACACATGCAATAGGAGTGATTCATCACTCATACCTGAAATATGGAAAATGCTACTGCCAATCAAATCAAGTGAAAAATAATGGAAGTATATAAATGAAGTTAGGAAGTCGTGTGAGTACCTTGATATGATTATGAGCAATAAATTGTGCTCGAAACGTGATCAGTAAACAGTACTGTATAACACTGTGAGACTTTATCAAAACAAAAATCTACCCATTATGGAATTACAATTTTCTTAATGTTAGTCGCACACAAGCTTCTAACAACACACATATATGAGTCTATGTATTTGTTAATTTCCATCCCGATGTTTAATCTAAACTGACAAGCAGTTATAATATCGGATAATTAAACGTTTGTGTCTCTGTCGTCGCAGTTGATATGGTGTGCTATCCATACATATTATAGAAATTAGGATTGCAGGAAATAAGATTATTGTTATGAGTGTAAAAGATTATTTATTTTATGTTTTATCTTTATTCAATTAAGATAAATTTCCCACCAGTTCAATTTCTACTGTTCTATGTTTGGGAACTATGGTTAATTGGATGGCATCATACATGTATATACGGGTTCCATTCTTCTGGAACTTATTCAAAAGAATACTTCATTCATATCTCCCAAACTATTTCAGTAGAATTCATTTAAAAGACTTCAAATTCTGTGTTTCAAAACGAATAATAAGCACGTATTTAGATCACTAGTAGTAGTAGCAGTCTGGTTTCTTGAAGCCACTTCACTGCCGTATGTGGATTAAAACTGAAGTCAAACGCTGAAGCATTTCGTTTATGAGAACAATTACTTCACTCTTAATAACTTAACCAGTACTAGAAAAGTTGAACAGCTGTGTGATATTAGAAATAAATCAGTCACAAGGTTTTTTTTACTAAACTGACTTAATTTTCTGTAGTTTGGTTTGTAAGGGTTAGTTTTGTTTTTGCGAGTTAGATCGCAGATTGATATCAGTTAGAGAACCATTGAAAACCAGCCAAGGAGTACTGGGCAGCTGCTGTTTCATCCTAGTTTGGGAATCATCGGTAGTACGCACCCACTGCCAGGGTTCGAACCCAGGACCTTCGGCTTACAAGGCGAACTAGTATACCATTCAACCACTGGGACCCGATTCACTGACTAACCCATGAATTCTAACTTTTACCAATTTGTGATTTAGCGCGACCCCAACCAATGTCGTTGGTGGGACATCCATCATCACACATGACATCTGGTTGGACCTTACTGGTCACGACTTCCCATTGGAACTCCACGAAACTCCATCCTGTAGCAAGTCACTAGCGAGCATCAGATTAATTTTCTGTAGTTTGGTTTGTAAGGGTTATTTATGTTTTTACGAGTTGATCGCAGGTTAATATCAATTGGGGTCGCGCTAAATCACGAATCGGTAGAAGTTAGAATTCATGGGTTGGTCATTGATTCGGGTCCCAGTGGTGGAATGGTATACGACATTGCCTTCTAACCGGAAAGTCCTGGGTTCGAACCCTGGCAGTGGGTGCGTACTGAAGATGATTCCGAAACTAGGATGAAACAGCAGCTGTTCCAGTACTCCCTGGTTTTCAATAGTTCTCTAACTGATATTAACCCGTGATCAACTCGTAAAATAAAATGACTTATTTTCTTACGAATATCAAATTTTGAATAACTTTATTAACACTAATTAGAGGTGAAAATGCTTGATAGAATATTTAATTCTAGGGACCTTCATGTATTGTTATGGGTGTATTATTTATGCATTATTTGCATAGATAGTTTGAAAATCAATTTTTTTAAAATCTTTCCTTCTTTTTTATTTTCAGATCTGAACCATATTTAGTGACTTTACCATCACAACCTTTGGATATACAAAAGTTAAAAGAACTTTTGAATTATCCCTCCGGTTCATGTTGCTCTATGAGTGAGTCTTGCAATTGTAATACTCATTCATCTCATTCTCCTAATAATCATGATTTGGAAAGTAACCATTTTTCAAATAGTGGAATCATTGAGGATGATCGAGATGGGTGTCAAAATTGTACAGATAAACCTAACAATAATAATAATAGTAATAATGAAAACAGCTATGCCAATGACCTCTCATCAAATTACTGTACACAAAATGGAATCCATATACAGTCAGGTACTTCGTGCCATACAACTCAATGTGATACAGTTTCAACCCAGAGTAAGCCTTCAAAGACTAATACGGTTATAACTGACTCCTCTCACTTAAAGTTATGCCATGACATAACAAATGATAACAATAAAGTAATAGCTAATAATGTCAATACGCTGTTAAATACAACTCAACCGGTATGCGCACAAAATGTTAATCAGCCAATAGTTCCTTCCGTTGTAAATTCTAATGTGATCAATACAGCTGCTCGCCGACGTAGGCGCCTACCAAGTAGTTGGTCTACTCTAAGTTCAACATTGATTGGCAATACAGATGTATCAGGTAATTGATTATTTTTCTTTTTATTCAATTGTTGGTTGGTTTAAAACAAAAAAAATAATTATTTATTGTCCTTGTAATTTTTTGCAGTAGGCTAATATTTGACACATTTCGTTGTGGTTAGAATCTTACACCTTTCACTAACTTTATTTGAATAGTTCACCTAAACTGACTCAACTGTTTTTCTCCTTTTTGGTTGCTTAGTACACACACTAGACGACAGATTGGTCTAGTTCTAGATTTCATACTTGTTGACATCCATCAAGCATTAGTGTATTTGTGGGACCTTGAAAACATTCATTTTTTACCACATGCCTGTCTCAGTCGGCTACTTTACAACTAGTGACACTTCATATTTAGTAAACATGATTTCACATAATAGATCCATTTACTGAATTACAACTTTACGTTTCATTTATTGTCTACTTTACCAGAACAAATTGATCAATTTTGCTTGGTTGTCAAATGCATTCAGCTGGAGTGAAGAACAAAATATATATTTTCTAAATATTAATGTTAATTCTAATCTTTCTTTTTCGTCTTCTCGAACGCTTAACTTTTCCATCGGACTTTTTCTTAGTTTGTTTTGTTCGAACATGCGTATTTCAAGTTAATTTCTTCTCTCAACTCTGTCACACTTGAGTGTCTAATGAATTATTATTATTATCGCTCCCTTGGGTTCCTAGTGGAACACAGGGCTTCAACTGCACGTCTCCACTTGCTTCTGTCTTCCTTCTGCTGTACTTTTCACCTGCATCCATGTTAGTCCATACTCTTTCAACTGCTCTTCACACTATCTCCCCATGTCACCCTTGGACGTCCCACACGCCGCTTCCCTTTTGGGTTCCACTCGAGAAATGGCCTGATGCGCGTGCGATGTCACCCTGTGGTCTCCTCAGCGAGTGTCCGATCCATCTCAATCCACTTTCTCCTGCATATATGTTGGGCGATTGGTTCTTGCTTTGTTTGTTCCCATAGTTCCTTGTTGGTGATTTTTTCCGGCCCGGCCATCTGATCTTCACTATAGAGCGGAGACAGTTGTTGATAAAGGTCTGCAAAAGGCTGTTGGAAACATTCTTTGTGACCAGCCCGCCAAGTTTCTGATCCGTATAGAAGAACTGACTGACTTTACGTTTGTATTGAAAATCCGAGCGAATTTTGTTGTTGATGTTGAGTGACGAAGATTTCTAGTTTGATTTCAGGTTGATGAAAGTGTTTCTCGCCTTCCCGATTCTCGCTCGATTTGAAATCCTTGTCCGTTCCGACTTCCTGTAGTTGAGACAATGCTCCCTAGATAAGTAAGTGAATGAAGTAACCTCTTTCAAATCCCTCCGGTTGATGGTGATTGACGCTGGATGTTGCTGCTGTTGTTGTTGGTTGGTTATTTTCATTCACCTCCGTCTTATCTATGTTCACTTGGAGTCCTGTCTTTGCTGCTTCTTCCACCAGTCTCTTGGTTTTTGCTTGTAAGTCTTCGATTTTGTGTGACATCAAACATAAATCATCCACGCGCGAAATCCAGGTCTTCTAGGTTCTTCACCTTGGTCGGTCCAGGATATCCTTGTCTTCTCGTTTCCCACTGTCTGACGCATAATCCAGTCATTTCACCACAATTAGGAATATCATTGGTGATAATAAGCAGCACCCTTGTCTGACTCATGTGTTTACTGCAAACGCCTCACTGAGTTTTCCGTTGTGGATCACTTGACATGTTCCGTTGTCATACAGCTGTTGAATAAGGTTGATGAATACTTGGGGTACGCCGTAGTACTTGAGTAATTTCCAAATTACTTCACGAGTTTCTAATTAATAACAATTAGATATCCGCTTTCTGAATGCCAAAAATATGTTTCATGAATTAATCTTTTATATAATTTGCGTTATGAAGAACTATGTTATTTCCCATCTATTTTTTCATAGGAAATACCACTAATGGTCACACGTTGAGTAACATGTTTACCAATAATAGACGCCAAACTCAGTTAAATCAACGTCAATCCAAAGGCAATAGCACTCATCATGCTTATATCCCATATCAAGTTACACCGACTGTTATTCCAGGAAGCCAATGTATAAGAACTCGTCAACATACTAATAGCACATGTGAAAGCACAACAAGTTGCCGTAATCAAGCATATGATAGTTCATATAATTCTCCTGATTCTCTAAATACATACTGTCAAACAAGTAGTAGAGGAAGTATTAAGTCTTCTCTTGTTTCTTTATCGCCTAATCTTATACCACTTTGGGCTAATGCACCTACATTTGCTAAACCGAGAACTGGTAGACTATATGTTTCCAGAGAGGAGGTTTTAGCTCGTATTGCTGAACAACGGCGACACCTATCGTCTGTCTCAGAAGTTAAACATCAAGAAGGTTTTAACAATCGTTCTCCACCTAATTCATCAGATACTTTGTCTTCTCATTTCGGGGACAATTCAAACTGTCCTGGTGAGTATGTCTTCATATTTAATTAAATACTTCACTGTTTACTTTAAATATGAGTGAAAGGATTATCAAGACGTGTGTGTATGTGCAGGGCAGTACTGTTATCATAATTCACTAATGCCCCTTCACTCGGTTTCAAAAACTCATATTCTACGAAAATATGATAGAATCGATTCAGAAAATCAATTAACTGAGTCAAAAAGAAAATAAATGAAGAAGCACAAGGGTTGTTAAGATCTAAACTGATTGATATTGCCAACCAGTACATACATTAACCAATCGTACAATCCTAAATCCTATCTAAAAAAACGTTAATCACCTTTGAAGAATCTAATGAATAATGAGAATTATGTATCATCGGCTTAAGAACCTGATAGATTTTTTTCCTTCACGTTCCCCAGTGGAACATAGGGCTTCAAGCTAGTGGCTTGAAGTTTCTGTAGCAGTGTTTATTTTACAGGATGGGGTTGTTAGCCTCATGTCCAACCTTTCCTCTTTACCAGCATTAGTTCTGGCTTAGCGAGGTAAAGGAGTGCGTCGGTGGCCGGAGATAGAACCCCGAACCATGTGCATGGTCCGCGAGCTTCCTAACCGCCATACTGCCGACGCACCGATAGATCTAATTAAGAAAAATAATATAATTTGCCAAATACCCTGTGATGACTGTGAGGTTAATTACATAGATCAGTCAGTCTAGTAGATCAGGGTCATTTAGATTATTGGAACCATAGAAATTCAGCTAGACGTAGAAAAAAGTTTGGTTATTGCATTGCATTCACTTGCATGTAATCACACAATAGGATGCGGCAGGGTGAAAGTATTAAAAAGTAATATAATTAGGTGGGGAGACGTTGATCACTGAAACCTTGTTTATCTATATAACACTATACATGCGTACAATCAAGATGACGCATTACAAACAGAGGGAAGAGTATATATATATATATACTGAAACCGTGTGACTAAACTGATTTGATTATGAGAAACAATTTGTGCTTGAAACGTCATCCAGTTATTAACAGTGTATCATTGTGTTTTATACCAAATAAACTTATCTGGTAAGGAATTACTTTCTGTCGCAGTGCCCAAGTTTTACACTTGCACGAATAATGAGAATATCATGATACTACGATAACACAGATGTTTTGGTGTTGTTATAATGAATAAGGATGATTTCATACATAAAGCCAAATTAATTTTGGAATATTCGTCAAGATTTGTATTGAACAATGCGAACAATAGTATGACTGAGTCCACATAACGAGTGAGTGACAAAGAAACTAATAAACAATTCAACCTACAATGATAGAATATAATTTACCCTTTTAACTTGTACATATTTCTTCTAATCTGAAATCATGGTCACTAGATTTGTGCTTTTTAACAGATGAATAGTGGAGTTGTACGCGAATAGTAGACTAACTGATGTACAGTACAGTGATGCACTATTTTCATTTAATTTGGCTGTCAAAATTTGTATTGATCCAGTCAAGGCCACTATTGTCTACAGTCAATGAATTTCCTTTGTCGTCTTGCAGAAATCAACGGCTCTGTCTAGCTATACGCTATTTTAATTACATTCATAGAATACATGCTTTGTGCAGTCACTGATTCCCCTTTCTCTTCTGAAATGTTCAACTCACTCACCACCTTGTCATTCTAGTATTGTTCGGTCTATGCATCATCTGTGATAAATAACTACTTATATTTAGCAACTATTATATATAAACGGGGTTTTATATTGCAGATAATTTTAATTATAAAGTATTCGTTATGATTATATCGACAAATAAGTTGAGGCGTCTTGTAAGCTAAAAACTTAAAGCGTGTATAAGTCTCTTTTAGGCTTCAGGTTAGCATCATTAGTGAATATGAAGGATGTAGAAAATTGAAACAAGTGATTCAGCAAAGAGACCCTTCAACGAATTCATTTTGAAGCTGTACAATAAGCTATGTACTGTATAAAATAGTCCATGGAATGTATAAATCTTAGAAGGGGGGGGGTTCGGAATTCCTAAGATTAGTAGGCATTTAAAACCATTACGCAACAAGATGAGAATTATGATAAGACCAGGAATAGTTCAAAGTGAAAATAATATTAATAATCGAATAAATAAGGAATGAATATACTAGGTTGAATAAACAAAATGAAAAATAAGCAGAGCCAAGGTAAAAATGTGGATTATAATATTTCAGCAGAGATGGACTAAGACTATGAAAAAAGTCGTAGAATATACAAAGCTCTAGCTTTTCTATTTCGATGAGCAAGCTTCAGCAATACAGATTAGTCGGACAGGTAATAGCTTTGGCAGGTTGTTTTTCGCTCCGTTGATAACTTTAAACTAAGAAGCTGTTGAGATGAGGTAACCAGTATCGACCAAATGTTCAATTATTGCCCTTCTAATAGTCCTACGTCCACCTCTTTGTTACCACACAGGATAGTTTTCGAGTTTCTTCACTGAATCACTTATTTTTAATTTTCTATATGTCCTAACGGGAATTTACCAGGATTATCGAACAGTCACAATTTCGAACTTAATAAGTTCTGTGTGAATTAATTACAAAAACCGAATATGATTTCCTGAAGTATAATAATGCCTAAAATTATGGTATTTTGAGTTCACCAAGTACTTCTAATTCTCTGTAAAACCATGAAGAAAATAAACGACATCATCGAAGGAGATTTTTTTACGGACGAAATCATCTAAGGCTGTACAGCCAATTCTGTTTAATCAAAACGTATAGTAGTCTACTATTGAATAGTGACGGTGTGGGTTCCGAGTGACGTAACTGATACAACTACTCAGAAGTGGTTTCTAAAGATAAAAAGGAATTATGTAATAGGATTTCATCATCAGCTGACATTAGTTAGAGAACCATTGGAAAACCCAGGAGTGCTGGACAGCTGTTTCGTCCTAGTTTGGGACTCTTCATCAGATGAAGCTGGTGAGTGCGTACTGATGACGAGTTCCAAACTAGGACGGAACAGCTGTCCAGTACTCCCGGGTTTTCCAATAGTTCTCTAACTAATGTCAGCTCATGATGAAGTCCTGTAACCAATCAAATCTCTACAAACCAACACTTGAATTATGTAACAGTTAATGAAACAGAGGAAACGTAGGTTTGAAATTTGACAAGGTGAAGATTTTTATTCGATGAGAAGCAAGGCAGTTGAATGTCCATTCGATAAGTGTGAAGAGGATGATAGAAGAACGTGAAATGTACAAAAGGAACTTGTAAGAGTGGTAATAATGAATTAATTACCTGAAACAGAAGCGAACAAGTAGGAAGGAGATCAGGACCACGGTAGAATAAGAGAGAGACAGATAATTACGGACATCATTCTGATTGGGATAATGTCAAAATTTTAGACAGAGAAAACACCAAAACTGCCAGGGAATTCCTAGAAGCTTGGTACTCAAACGAATATGCAATTAACAAACACGTTAATATAGACCAAATATACCAACTAATAAAAAGCAAACATTTGACTAGAAAGTTTAAAATCCGAGTCAATAGAAAATGATCAATACATATGTAAAGATGGTTACCGGGAGACGCAATTCTATCGCTCACGCAAAATTTAAATTAGGTCACTTTATGCTAAATATTGCGCTGAAGATGTTGTCTAGATGGGGGATGACGAAAGCTCCGCAACCAAACCAACCAGCTCAGAAAACACCATTAATTGCAGAATAAGAGACTGTACAAAACTTTTCTTTATACAGAGTTTGGTTGACAAGTCGCTAGCGCCTTAGCCATACCCAAGTGCTTTAACCTAACACCCTTTATACCATTCAGTTATGCTTTGTAGATATTTTTAAAAGACAACTGCCATAGAAGTACGTGACCTGAGTTCACCAGATACTCGGAAATTGAGCTAATAAGCTTCTTTCATTATCCTTTTGATAACCATGCAGGATAATGTTCAAAGATGTGTTTAGAAAGTGTGTGCTTTGTACAGCCAATGTAAATAGCTTCCCAGGAGCAAGTGAATTTATAAGCGTATATTGAATCACCCCAAGACGGCAGCTTGTTCTACACTGAACCACTAGTGTGATTTACTTCATCACTCACTGGGTATTTTCACTCTCTGTAGACTATTCTTTTTAAGAAAAACTATTTTTATTCTGTATACTGGTTGACTAGGTAATTCTATTGATTTAATTGAAAATTCTGCTTTTGGTCATTTAATTCAGGTGGTACAGGAACTAGTTCAAATAATTCAACAGAAGGAAATTCAACCTCCTATAGTGAACAGAAGTTATCAAATAATCCTGTTCAATCTATGGCACCAAATCATAATCCTGTAACAACAAATGGATGTAATTTCGACTTATCTTCTGATTCTCTTATAGTATGCAAAAATAATGCATCATTACCTATTCCATCTGCGTAAGTGTATTTTATATGATAAGTTGCCCTTTCAAAAATTAGTTTGTAGGGATTCTATTTGTTTGTTTGTCTGTCTGTCTGTCTGTTTTCGACATAGAACTTTGCACATATGTGCGCCAGTTCAAGTCGCCACACTCCATTTACCACACAATGCAAGAGAACAAAGTAGAAGAAATGCAAAATAGAGACAGTAAAAAGATATGAAACAAAGGAATAGTAATGACGAAGAACAAAACAGTTTCATTGGAAATCATAAGTCACAAGGAGTGGATGCATCTGCACCGGCCATTTAGGACGATTTTGAGCCATGTCACCGATTGTTTTCAGTCATTGACTTTTACCGTCCCGAGGACCCCAACCCGGAAGTCTACACCTTCCTCCGGGTTTAAACTAACTGTTGTGGATTTCATTGACTGATGAGGCCATGTTTTGGTTTGACCGCCGCTAGCTCTTTTCCAGCCTGACCCTATATCAGCTAACATTGCCCGTAGGTCGAGTAAGGCGATGACTAGGCGTTCATTCGTAACACATGTCCTAACCATCTCAGTCGATGTAGCTTCACAGCCTCGTCGATTGATTTCCCCTCCCACCTACCTAGCACTCGACCGAAGCTTAACCTCAATATTGCTCACCTTATTATGCCACTACTTCACACGGGAGATAGACCACAGGCACCTATGATCAAAGACAGCTAACCAAGCTTTTCATGTCTTCCACTCTCAATGGCCAGGCTTCACTGAAAGCGATAAAGGAGGACGGAGCGGACTGATGAGCAGTACACACACCCTTTGGTCGATAGCCAGCTGGATATCACGTCTACGCCAGAGAGGGCGTAAACTGGTATATGCGAAACTAGCCCTCTGTATCCGTACTCAGCTGAGATTTCGTCAGAGACCAACCCATTGGGGCTTATGTAACTTCCCAAGCAAGTGAAGCGGTCAACGTGCTCTACCACTTCACTTCCTATTTCTAATTTGGAGTCGGTGTAGTCCAGTCCTGTAACATCATCTTGCATTCGGCGGGAGCGAATTGGATTCCAAACACTCGTAGATTGCAGCTCAAGGTGTTTAGAAGACTCTGCATTTTGTCAGCGTTCACTCCTCGAAGGACTATATCGTCTCCATATTCTAAGTCGACGAGATTATTCCCTCGTAGCAAGTCAATTCCTGAGTCGCTGAAGTGAGTTAGGGTTAAGTCCATTAGTACATCTATGATGAAGTTGAATAGAAATGGGGATAATGGGCATCCTTGACGGACACCACTAGTCGTCACCAGTTCAGATAACAACTCGCCGTAAGCCCTCACCTGGCTGTATGAGTTCGAGTAGAGTGCCTTAATCAGTGCAATGTATTTTCTCGGCATTCACTTTACAGCCAAGCATCTCCAGAGAACTTCTCTATCGACAGAGTCGAATGCCGCCTTTAGGTCAAGAAATATAATGACTGTTGGACGCCGGTAGGAATGACTATGTTCTAGAATCTGTCGGAGGGTGAAGATATGATCAATACACCCTCTTCCTGGTCTAAAGCCTGCCTGGCTCTCTGGTGTTTGTGCCTCCCGAGCACCACTTAGTCTAAGCATGATTATTGAGCCTAAGACTTTAGATACTATATTAGTCAAGCTTATCCCTCTGTGATTATCACAGGAAGACTTGTCTCCCTTCTTGTATATGGGGATAATCAGTGACTTACACCAACCCGATGGGACTTCTTCTGATTCCCAGACGCTGCCTAGAACCTAAGCCAATGCAGACAGTAAACTGTCTCCACCGTACTTAAATACCTCTGGAGTCATTCCATAAGGTCGCGCTGCTTTGCCTAGTTTCAGATTAGTGACAGCTTTAGTAACCTCAGTTAAGGAAGGAGGATTGATATAAGTTAGAGAACCATTAAGAACAGGGAGTACTGGACAGCTGTTTCTTCTTAGTCTGGGACTCATCAGGAGTACACACCCTTTGGGTTTTGAACCGAGGACCTTCTGGGTACAAGGCAGGCCTTTTGTCGACAGAAGTTTAGTAATTGAGGCTTTTTTATATGTTTATACTTATTTGAAGAATAATGGTTATTTTCTGTTTCTGTATTGCTCTCAATGTACGAATACTACCTACCACTGTAACTGGTTACATTTGTCAACTGAATTTACTAATACGGCCGTGTTTATTAACATTGATTACCATTCTCATTCCTTTGTATGATATCAGTGTGATTAACTTTTGAAGGAATTCTTAAAAAATATCATTCTCTCATTTCTAAACAGTCAATATAAAATGCTTTACAACATTCTACCTCCGTAGACTGTTATCTTTTTCACTCAGTAACTTTGAGTTTGTAGTAACAATCTGTATCCATAACTATCTCATCTATGGAGCAGCTAACTTTTTATGGAATATACCACCAAGTTGAGATTCTTATCTATTCTTTTATATATATGATGTAGAAACTGTAAATTCTTTCTTCGAAATTGACGTAGGAATACTTCAGATCCAAGATATTCAAATCACAATACATAATCTACCTAATACTATAAATGGCTCATGAAGAAAGCAAGCATAACTACTGGTTAGTATTATGTAGTTAGAAACCACTCAGGTAAACCAGTTTTTAGTTTGACAGTCAAATCGAAATGATCCAGTCACTGGAAGAACACACTAGGAGTTGTTTGAACGTCAACTTAGTTCATATCACCTGAATTCTGTCTGGTTAGGTGAATGACCTCCAAATATTCGTAGCAATCAAAATGGCATATATCATTATGCAATCGTTAAAGTAATCTTGAGTAATAGTCATGACTTATTTGTACTGATAAGTTCATTTTAGCAAGTCTGTATACAATTAGCATTTAAGAAGATTTTGGTTAATGTTTACTTTTCTGTGGAAATATATCTAACTGAATTCAGAGTCCTTACTGTAGAATATTACTACTGTTGTAACAACAGAATACAAGGGTCAGGAAACAGATCGTTTATTAGAGAAATCAACACATATTTATAGATTTTCATGTACATATTATAGATTATTGTTAGCAGAAAAACACAGTCCTCTGATTGGTTGTTTCTCACAGAAAGTTAACCTCGCATCTCTTCATGACTGTTTCTTGAATGTCAGATCATCTATATGTTAACTGTGTCCGCCTACGCAAAGTCTTTGTTCTCATTTTTCTCACGAACATTATTAGGGACATAAACATTGACGTAAATTACTGTCCACCAATCTCGGCTAACAGCCAGCTCTCATCACACTGTTACTTTTATGATTAGGAAAAAGAGTTCACTTTTCATTTCTGTTGTTTTGGAAGGTCTATTTTCCTTCGAGAATGTTCTTTATGTGAAGTTTAGTCTAGAAAGCCTACAGTAGTTGAAGTTATCTGAGTTCATACCATGGATATCCATTTTGTATTTATTAAGCATAAACAAACTAACTGCTGCAGATATTTCTTTCCCGTAGTAAATTTTAAACAGGCAAGAACTGTGAAAAAACACCGTATTTAGTAAATTCATAAATTTCGGTAGGACTGATTCGTCGTCTGAATACTCTACAAACATTGTTGTTTATACATTTTCTTACTTATCTGTTGTTACAATGTTCGGGTGCTTGTATGTATTTAACCTTAGAAAATTGTAAAGTACTCAGCTGATGAGTCCTATCGAATTGCTTCAAAGTGTGCTGACAGTTTGTGTTATCCTCCTACTCAAATCTTTAATGCATCGTTTCACAGGGATACAATACCTGTTGTCTGGAAGGAAATAAAGGTGATGTCTGTACTAAAGTTATCTTCTGGATCACGTCTAAAGTTTAGGCTAATCGCCATCACGTCTTCATTTCTGAAGACTATTGAGAAACTTCTCTTGCATGCTTTAAAACCTTCTTTGAAATCTTTTAATGACCCAAAGCAGTTTGCTTACAAATGAAGTAATAGAAGCACATTAGATGCTGTCGTTGTATTCCACCACAATACTGTTTCAAGTCTTGATAGAGGCACAAAGTTTGTTCGAGCCCCCTTTTTAGACTACACTGCTTCGTTTGACTCTATTTCTAGGGTACTTTTACTAAACAAGCTGATTTCAGTAAACAGAGGAATCGCGGGGTTCAAATTTGACAAGATGAAGATTGTTATTCGATGAAAAGCAAGGCAGTTGAATGTTCACTCGACAAGTGTGAAGAGGATGAGATAACGTGAAATGTACAAAAAGAACTTGTAAGAGTGGTAATAATGAATTAATTACCAGAAATAGAAGCGAACGAGTAAGAAAGAGATCAGGACCACGGTAGAATAAGACTGTACAAAACTTGTGCGTCGATGACACAGTGGTTAAGACTCTCGTCAACCATACACATGGTCCGAGGTTCGACCCCCTGCCGACGCACACCTGATATCTTTGGTTGGCCTGCAAAATTTGGGCTACCGATATCACATGCTGAGAATTTCATACTTGTACAGAAAATAAGGTGTGAAATCAAGCCGTAATAAAAAAGAACACTGAGTCCAGTTAGGTCACAAGGTGACTGTCTTCTTATTTTTCGGGTACAAAACAAGATTCTGTTTTGAATGGAAAGCGCTCCACTTCGTTGCTGACGAAAACTGGTGTGCCTCAAGGCGATATACTCTCTTCATTTTTTCTTTTGGCATGACCTTCCATACTCTTCCATAGCTAATTTCGTTAAATATGCCAATGATCTTACCATATTTGTCCCAGTAGTTTCTGCTTTGGATTGGTCTTATATGAATAAATTCTTGTCTGAAGTTACCAAGTGATCCGAAACTAAATCCATCTAAATGTCATATTGCTGATTTTAGTTTCAGATGCGAACAAGACTTGTGTGGACTGATTTAGTTGCATGACTCCTGTAATACTGACAGCACTGTGATAGGGAGTAAATCGAATATTTCTCATCTCAGTATCAGTTTTTCTTCGAATCTCTGTTGGTCGTCTCATATCCTGTTGATTTCTAAGAACATTTTTCGTTCAACTTATTACATAAAAGAAGTTGACGCTTTCTGGCACAGCTCAACCTTTTCTCTTAAAATTTGTTAATTCATGTATTCTGCCCATTCTCCTTTATTGTTCACCATTATTCTTCCCTAGGCTTCTCAAAAAAGACTGTCATATTACATAGAACACTAGAAGCTGTAAGTAGGGTTAGTGGTGTACCTTTCATTCAGCTAACTGACATTATTGTCAATAGGCACTTCACTTCCTTCTTGCAAGGATTTAGGTAAAGTTATCTTGTCTGATACGGAACATCCTCTTTATTTCTCAACTTTCTTCTTGTATCTCTTCGGGTAAAACCAGAAGAAACTTCACGAGAATTCACTCTCGTACAACTAAATATAAGCATTCTACCTTACCATATTTAGCAAGGGTTTTGTGTGAATAGAAAGTCAAATGTCATAAAAAGAACTTATAAACTTTTTAAATCAGTAATCTGAACTGCAAAGTATGAGCAAAGATTATTATTATTATTATTATTATTATTATTATTATTATTATTACACGTATTATCTATGATATTATCTATTTATAGTTCATTATGTTTCCACCAGCATTATGTTTATAGTGGTTTTACCATTAATATTATTACTATTTTAAATTTTATGTGTATACATATTTATAAAAGGAGGTAAATTGTTCCAGTGTGATAAACCCGCTGAAAATTCCGTTCTATAGAATTAATTAATGTTTTGAATAAAGTGATTATTATTATTATTAATGAATTCATTAAATACTGCTTTTTTTCACAGCCCCTGCTTGTTTTAAAATAACGGTCACCATGCCTGTTGACATGGTGACCAAGTGAAAGTCTTTGAACTAAGGTATAAGATTAGTGATTATCAGGATGAATCGTATCATCTAGCTTCTCAGTAATTCTCTTGTTTTCTAGATATAGATCACCTGTACTGAACGGAGTTTTGTTAGACGTATATCCTATAGATTTGATGGCAAAATGTTTTTTCAATGAAGGTGACTTTGCACATTGTCGATTTAAAAGACGCAGTGAGACTTCCAAAAAAACAACGACATGTTTACCTCCTTTGTATAAGAAACACTTCTTAAGCATTTATTATACAATTCCTCTGTTGCATGTATTAAATTTGTATGGGGAAAGAAATATTTTTTTCAAGTGTTGGTTTGTAGGGATTTGATTGGTTACAGGATTTCATCATGAGCTGACATTAGTTAGAGAAACATTGGGAAACCTGGAAGTACTGGACAGCTGTTTCGCCCTAGTTTGGGACTCTTTAGCAGTACGCACCTACCAAGGTTCGAACCCTGGACTTTCTGGTTACAAGGCTAGCTCGTATTTTCTTCTCTGATGGAGAATGACTGCTACGATTTAAAATCAAAGCTACGATTTCTCCTTAATACGTTGTCTAGGGAATTCTAGTGAAGTCAAGATTATCTAAGAGCTAAAATAAGGTATTAAAGCAGAACTTAGAAGTCTGCTTCCAGATTTTTTTTAAGATTGCCAATTAGGAATTGCTGATCAAATTAAGTGAGGCATTAACTGTAGTAGTATGGTATTCAGAATTGTTTTCACTTGATAACATCCATGCTGTCAACATTGTACTCAAAGAACAGTGAGGAATTACCCTGTAATAACTAAATAAGAGTGAAACAAGTCATAATTGTCCAACAGTTGACTAGAGTTAGAGGGAGTGAAAAATAAGGATAACGTGTGTCAAACCTAATCTGCGGTTTACTGACCCTACCCACATTCTCCATCGAATTCTGTGCAGGCCTGTCCCGACCGATAGCTGTTACCTTAACGTGGTAGTTAGGTTTGCACATCGCGATGACCCAACAAGCTGCACTGGCTGGAACCAATGTTCCTGCAGGTCCTACTATGCCAGGAAGGTTGTTATAATAGCGATTAGACTAAAAGCAATTACCGGCATTGTGTAAGGATCTTTCTTACACTATGCTGGGAGATCTGAGGGCGAAGTCGTACTGCTGGGGAACAGGGGTGTAAAAGCAGTGAGGTGCTTCCCTCAGATGACCAGCATGCCAGCTATGCTGTCTCTCCACTCCGTAGGGAGGGGGTCAGTAAAGGTCGACCCCAATAATTGTACATCCCGACTTACCCCACGGTGGTCCGTGACCGGCGGTAAGTTTACTAATACGGAACCAATCCGAGTAATCAATTCATACAGGCCGTGTGTGACCGGCGTCAAGCAGTTGTCCCCTGGGCTCTGCGGGCACACAACACTAACCCTCTTTCTGTTTCAGGTACCCGAAGAATCAGTCAACTTCCTGCCGGCCTGTGTATGATAATAACCATTTTGTTTAATTCGAAGGTGTCATTCTGTACCAGTAATATCAAACGTTATGTAATATTGCTGGACTATAAGGAAAGTTTTAAAAGGGTATATTATTTCTAGATTTACGTATAGTATATGAAAGTTAAGACTAAAGTTGTAATTATGATGCTCCATAAAATATTTGCTTTTAGAGACTTCTAAACTTGAAGGTAAATTGAGAATAGTCCATTCTGTATAAAATTTAAGTTTTCTGTGTATGTTGAGACCGTGTACAATGAATGTATGCATTGATTAGATCATTCTTCAAAACATCACTGATATTCTCTGACAACAAGATTGTTTTTCTTCTACAGATCGTACATTAATATGCCTCCAAATCCAATTAATTCTGGGTTAAAACCAGCAAATGAAAAAAATTCATCTGTCGTGACTTCAGACGCTCCTGTACAATCTGTTGAAAGTAGTGATATCACTGATAAGAAACAAAATATAGAAGATACAAGCAAAGTATTCAGTGGTAGTGATAGTATCTTTGAATTGTCTGATGGTACACATGTTGTGCTGGGTAATCCTGAGACTTATGTAAACTTGTTGGGTTTACGGAGGAGTGGATTCACAATTCTAAACCATTCAGAAGCGAAAGTCTACTATATCAATCTTTCACCGCCAAATTTTGAGTCTACATCCGATCATCCAGGTCCTCTTCAGTTATCCAGGTGAGTGTCATTTTTGGAAAATTATTTATGCATATGCCTTTCATCGAAATTTAGAAATAACTGAATTCTTATTTCTAAGCTGTAAGATAGATGAAACTACACTCACATTGCATTGAGCGAATTATTACGCTAGAGTTAATCATACTGTAAGGTCGCTTAAACCTCAGTGATTGGAATATGGTCTGGACCTGTGATCAACTGTTTGTGGAGGCCAAGGACATAACTCAATGATTTGCAGTAACACAAGATGGATGAGGCGTTGCAATTTTGGCCTCATGATTATGACACAGAGGATTTATTGTGATATTTCTATGTATTTCATGCATATAGCCGAAGTAAAGTAAAGTAAAAGTATATATATTATTATTATCATTTCCTTTAATTCCTAGAGGAACATAGGGCTTTAGCTGCACGTCTCCATTGCGTTCGGTTATCTGCTAAAGTTTTCATCTGGTTCCAGGTCTCCCCACATGCTTTCATCTCCTCTTCACATGACCTCCTTCAAGTCACCTTGGACGACCAACGCGCCGCTCCCCTTTCGGGTTCCACTCGAGGGCTTATCTAGTGATGTCACTTGATAGTTTCTTCAGAGTATGGCCTATTTGTTGCATAATCGGCTCCTGATTGGTTCGCTCCCAGAGATCCCTCATTATTGCTGATCTTTTCTGACCATATAATCTTGAGTATTGAGCGAAGGCAGCTGTTGATGAAGGTGTGTAGTTTGTTTGAGGTGCTCTTTATGACGCGCTGGCCAAGTCTCTGATCTGTATAGTAGCACTGACTTCACATTGGAGTTGAAAATCCGCATCTTATTTTTGATACTGAGTGCTGTTGATCTCCACACGGACTTGAGAGGAATGAATGGCCAGGAATCTTCATCACCTCTGTTTTCTCTATGTTCACCTGAAGTCCTATCTTCTCTGGATGCTTCTTCTGCCAACTTGTTGCTTTTCACCTGCATATCTTCCAGTTTGCGGGAAATCGGACATGTATCATCGGCGAAGTCCAGATCCTCCAAGTTTTTCGTTAGGGTGCATTTTATGCCTGTTTCCTCATTGCTTGCTGTTTGTCGCATTATCCAATCTACTGCAATCAGGAAAATCACTGGTGATAGTAGGCAGCCTTGCCTTACTCCCGTCCTCACTTCGAAGGATTCTGTAAGTTTCCCGTTGTGGATTGCTTGACATGCAGCATTGTCGTACAACTGATGGATGAGATGTATAATTGTCGGCGGCACCCCGTAGTAGCGAAGTAGCTGGCAAATCACCTCTCGATGGACGCTGTCGAAGGCGTTTTCAAAGTCGATGAGGTTGAGATAGAAGGGTGACTGCCATTCCAATATATATATAGGCTGGTACTAACAGTTTATCGAGTTTATGCAGCAACCTAAAGGACTGAGAAAAGTTGAACTGACTTCTTACAAACCATGTTAATCTTATTAAAGCACAACTTATTAGTAACACTATCAAAATGCTCTAAGCATTCAAGTCTTAGCTCTAAGTTCAAATTCAGTTTCTGAATAAGAAAAAAATTTAGAAGGCGTGGAGAGTGCTTATTTCTTTTTTTCAACAGTGGAACATACTACTTTTTCAAAATATATTTCCAATATTTATTCAGTTTCTCTTCTCTCTTTTGAAAGTCTGTATGCAATCAATTTACGTCTTCCTTAAATTGTTTCAATATTTTTTTCTCATTGATTGTTTCAGTGTGATTTGTGTGAATGCGAGAATAAAATAACACTATTTTTTTTGTCAGTCCCCTGAAAACATTTGTATGATTTCTTTTTTTTTTTTGAGTTGTGCTCACTGTACTCCAGTTTGTAAATCAATAAGTATATTGGTCTTTGCAAAATAGTCATATCATACAAACAGCCTAATCGAGAACAGCTTGAATGGTAATGATAATAATAATATAAACTCATATCTCTTTGCAATTTGTTTACTCATACTATCATAAAAATATCCTAGTGAAAATGTCATGTGACCAGTGTAATGTAGCCTAGATAGATTATGTTAGACAAGCTAATTCAATGTGACATACGGTAATTTTAAATTTAAAACAGTATGCATTTTTTTCTCATTGTCAGTGCAATATAAGAAAGAATTAAGATATTTCCACTGTTGTTTGTTCGTACTTGTATGTGCCTGTGCGTGTTATCTTTGAACTACCCAAATTTACCAATACTGACTTGATTGCATGAAGGATTTCATCATGAGCTGACATGACATCAGTTGAAGAACCACTAGAAAACCTGGGAGTACTGGATAGCTCTTTCTCCCTAGTTTGGGACTCTTCATCAGTACGCACTCACCGGGGTTCGAACCCAGGACCTTCTGGTTACAAGACGAGCTATCTCGTAGACCACTGAGTCACTGGGACCCGATCCAATGGGCCTTGAATTCTAACCTCTCCCAATTCACGACATAGCGCGACCATTTCACAATGTCTTCTTCGCCGAGCTACTGCCTCATCTTCAACCTGCTGTACCCTACTGGTCACGGCTTCCCACTAGAACCCCAGGTCACTGCCTGAATACTGCGTAGTGATGAAGAGTCCCAAACTGAAACGAAACAACTGTTCAGTACCCCCAGGTTTTCCAGTGGTTCTCTAACTGATGTCAACTCATGATGGAATCCTTCATGCAATTAAACAAAGTCACTACAAAACCAATACTGATTTGTTTGTGCTTATATTTATTAAATTTAGTTATTTATTTAATTCAATTGAAATTTTCTCGTCAATTGATTGGACCGAAATGCTCGGTCTCAGGTTGAAGTGTTGGCTCCTTGTGCAGATGCTCCGACGATGTTTGATTATTTAACTTGAAGTAAATTGTTGGACAGTGACTAGCAGTGGAATCCAGGTTAATGCATATTTCTCCCTATTTGGGACTGGTCAGGAAGGTGCAGCTGCATTCCCCAGGCAGTGGTAGTGTTCCCACCTAGTCTCGAACCCAGTACTCATAGTTTCAAACGTCAAAGCGTTATCCACTGGACCATGTGGTCCATGAGACCCATCTCTTATGCAACGGATCTTATTAATTAATTATTGAATTCAATTTTAGATTTTCCCATCGATTGATTGGAGAGTTAGTTTGTAGGTATTTGATTATTTTTTGAGCTAGATCACGAATTGATACCAATTAGCGAATCATTGAAAGCCACTAGGGTGTAATAGACAGCTGTTTCGTCCTAGTTTTGGGCTCTTCCTCAATACGCACATATAACCCTACCGAGGATCTAATCTGGGACTTTCAGGTTGCGAGGCGAACTCGTTTACCATTGAACCAATGGAACGGAATCTAATGACTCGTGAATTCTAATTTCTGTTAATTTGCGAATTTTACTCAATGGCCAGCTAATACCACCGGCCAGTATTAGTCTTCAAATCCACCCTGGTAGACCCCACTGATCACGATTGCTAACTTGGACTCCAAAAAACTTCGTCCTGTAATCAGTCAATAGTGAGCACCAGATAAATTGTTGGAATTTCACTTCTTTCAAGTTTGATCGCGGATTGATATCAACTAGAAAACCATCTCGTTAAGAACTGCTTTTTTACTGTGGAGGTGGCTGAGACACATACGCTTTACATCTAGATATAACTCTACGAAGACAACACTCTTAACTGATGGATGACATTAGCTGAAAGGTTAGGAATAGTCAAATCAAAACGTGGCACCAATCCATGAAGTTTATTTATCATTGGTCCACGTAACGCAGGTAAGGGTACTACTCTGTCTCACTAAAGGTCCTTTGAATGTTACAAATAAAAGGTTGAAGACTATTGGTGACATGATTCAAACACATTCACAATGGTGCAAATATGTTCATTGCCTTTTATGATGCTCTAGATTCTGAACACTATCGGTAATCTTTATGTAATCATTCTTTCATTCACATTCGTGTGTTTGTATATTACAATAGCATTGTATTCTTGTTGTCTTATTTTGTTTAAGTATTTCTTCTAATTAAGGAAGAAAGCAGTACACTGTATGTCAGGGAAAGTCGTCCACTTTGTTGCTTACTGAGGCTGGTATCCCTCAAGGTGCTGTCCTTTCTCCTGTTCTGTTTTTTTCTTCTTGCACGATTTGCCTCACTATGATTAAATGAACTTTGTTAAGTATGCCGATGATCTAACTATTTCAACGTCTGTTAACTCCTAGCTTGACTGTGCTAAGATGAACACCTTTCTATCATGAATTAGCAAATGGTCTTCGTGTAACGGCCTTAAACTAAATCCTTCCAAATGCCAGACTGTTAATTTCAGTTTCCGATGTAAAAGAAAGTTAAATGAAGCTGTTGGTTTCTATGACCCTTGCAAAATTGATGACACTGATATAGAAATCAAGCCTGAAGTTAAGTATCTTGGATTAATTCTTTCTTCTGACCTATCCTGGTCTTCCCATATCTTAGCGATTTCTAAAAGAATATTTCGTTTGAATGTTTACATTAAGAAGTTAAGGCACTCAGGCATAACCCGACCACTCCTCTTACAGCTTGTCAACTCGTGTATTTTACCTATTCTTCTTCACTGTTCACGCTTATTCTTTCCTGGATTGCTTAAAAAAGACTATGTCATACTTCGTAGAACTCTGAAGACTGTCACTAGGGCGAGTGGTATCACATTGGGCCATATCGCTGACATCGTCATTGAAAGGCACTTGATGTCATGCAACAAACTTGCTAAAGGAATTTTGTCAAACTGTGAGCATCCACTTTACCCTCAGCTTCAACCTTGTGTCTCCTCAGGTAAAACAAGAAGTCTTTTCTGAAGACTGTATGCACGTACGTCTAAGTATAAAAATTCCACTATACCGTATTTGGCACGTACTTTATGTGATGAAAATGGTGTTAGGCATGAACTAACTAACCTTCTTTGCACTACTAAATAAGCCATTTCTTCCACCCTTACAGTACCGAACTTTATTGTTATTGTATTTCTTATATTTATAATCCTCTCAGTTTTTTGTTTTTATTTGTTTGTTTTTTCACAAGTGTGAATATCATTTAAGCGGTGTTATAAGTGTTAGTTTTGTATTCCCCGTCACCATACTATATCAACAGAACATTAGGTCCAATAATCTACCACATGCTAAAATTTCCAAACTGCATCGACAATACTGTTTGAAACAAAGTCACTGTTATTACTATTATTATTATTATATTTGATATTCTCATTTCGTACTTCGAATATTTTTGACTTTATATAGAAAATGTGGACAAATTCCTCTGGTTAATTTTGTCTTAATTTTTAATTTTATTTATATTTTGAGTAAATCAGATACAGTATTGTGACAAATGCTGAGAATTCCATTCTGCATTATAAGTACTGTTTTTGGAATATAGTAGATTATTATTATAATTGTGACACTTTTGTTTATATGTCAGTCCAGCCTATCTTAGAAAGGTTCAGTTGTGTCAACTGATTAGAGCAGTGGGAAATATGTTAACTGTAACACTGGGTAACACAGTTACTAATATGTGATAGAAGCCGAGTTTCCTCAACTAATTTTAAAGTGGAATTTGTGCATAGCGCGACTGAATAAGTTTATTTATCATAACACTCCAATACATTAGTAATAACTGGATGACGTATTTGAGCACAATTTATTGCTCATAATCATATCAGTCAATATACTTACACAATTTCCTAACTTGTTTTATATGGCATTCCTTATTCCCTCCTGTTTTTCTATTGTATCTCTCTTGTATGCATTTAATGTCGTCTCAATAAACAAAGATTCAGTTTAGATGCTAGTATCTATAAGAAACCATCGTGCGTCGGTGGCACAGCGGTAGGAATGGTCGCCGACCACGCATGTGGTCCGGGGTTCGATCCCCGGCCGACGCATTTCTTTACTTCGGTAAGGCAGTAATAAGTCTGGTAAAGAGGGAAGGTTGGTCATGCGGCTAGCAGCCCCATCGTGTAAAAATAAACACCACTGCTACAGAAACTTCTAGCCACTAGCTTGAAGCCCTATGTTCCACTGGGGAACGTGAAGGAATAAAAACAAAATAAGAAACCATCATATTCTCAACATATATTTTGTACTTGGAATTATCGCCTTCAGAATTATGTAAAATTGGATTTGGTCAAATATTGATGCAGTCACACTATGAGTATGGCCAATGAGTAAGAAAATTTATATGAAGAAATCAAAGAAATAAGGATGACTATACTACTGACTTGAATTCATTCAAAAAATTTATTAAAAGCAATAAGGAAAATAACACTAGTAAAGTAAATAACAGAAATAATGGTATCAATAATGAAGAAATCCAAGCCTTGATGGTAGTACTATGTAAGAAATGAACATCAAACATCCTACGTTGGATTCATAATAAGGTTGGTACCAGTTAACTCACTCAAAGGTCAATTTTGTGCACTCATATATCTAGTAGATCTAATTAGACAAAATAATATAATTTACCAAATATCATTTAATGAACTGAGGGCAAATAAGTGGATCAAACTATTATATCGGGGTCAGTTAGGTTATTAAAACATAGATTACCTGACTGAGGTTCTCAGTTTATCCACTTTTCTCTTAATGATATATAGTGTCATTGACTGGTAGTAATAAGTGACCTTTAAATGATATTTCCGTGACCTTGTGGAATAATGTTTAACACTAATACTGCTTTGATGAGAAGTCACGAAATGAATATTATCTGCAAACCTTTTTTTAAATTTCTGTTACATAGTAATTAATGAGGTCAGTCATTCTAAATTAGGCTTAAGTTAAATAATTTTGAAGAAGGTCGGTAGTTGTTATACATGTATTTGTACCTGTTCACAAAACTATTCAAATGTAAAACAGTTAAGCAGAGAAGGAAGGTTCATTACCGAGTCAACATTAAATACATTCAATAAGCATGAGGCAACTCCTATTCCGAATATACATACAAAAAATTTCAGTAAAAAACAAAAGGGATTGAAGAAAACTATACAATGCAACTTGGTGCAGCGTTGATGCCGTGATAGAATGTTAGCCAACTATGTATGTGGTCCGGGGTTCGATTCTCAGTGGACGCGCTCTTAAGCCTCGCTTGGCAGTTAGGAGTCTCAATAAAGAAGGAAGGTTGATCGTGAGGTTAACACCCCCGCTCTGAAAAAGTAGCATCACTGTTATTGAAGCTTTAAAGCTCAAGCTTGAAGCCGTATGTTCTAATCAGAACGCAAAAGAATATAAATAAAAAATATATAAAGCAACCTAGGAGGCAGCGTGAAGACTTTTTCATGATTGTTTTCAATAAATTGTGCTCAGAACGTTATCCAGTTATTAATAATTTATCCTACTCCAGTGCCTGAATTGTATACTCTTACATCAATACACTACACACTTGAATGACAGAATTCGGTCACTTGAAGAACTAGACGTGTGATATTGGTTATTCCTGGATTATCAGTTAGTGTTAGGCTGGAAAACAGCTAGCAGCAGTCAAACTAAAACATGGCACCAGTCAATGAAATCCACAACAGTAAGTTTAAGCCACGTATGAAGGGGTAGACTTCCTAGTTGGGGTCCTTGGGAGGGTAAACACAAATGGCTGGAGACAGTTTGTGGTATGGCTCAAAGTCGTTCTCAGTGGCGCAGATGCATCCACTCCTTGTGACTTATAATACCCAATCATACTATATTATTCTTCGTTATTTCTATTCGATTTGTCTCATCCCTGTTTACTGTCTCTATTTTGCGTTTGTTTTTACTTTCTTCTCTTGCTTTCTGTGCTACATAGAGTGTGGCGACCTGAACTGCTGCACATCGATGCAAAGTTTTATGTTGAGGCGGATCAGTTAATGTCTTTAATTCTGGTTCTCTTAAAACACATCTTTTTACTGATAGTATTTTCTATTTATTGAATAGTGTGCACGGATGAGAATGTCAAAGGATAGGATCCAAAAAGTAAAACAGACCTTCAGTATTCTGAAATCAGTGTGGAAATCTACTTCACTCACCATAAGAAACAAGATTTGGGTTTTTAACGTTGATGTCAAGTCAGTTCTTCTATATGGTCCAGAGACTTAGCGCGTCACGAAAAGCGTTTCTAAGAGGCTACGACAGACTTTTATCGACAGCTACCCCTCTCTGGCTACATTCTGAGTATCATAAAAAGAAAGAATTAGCAACAAGGAACTGCTGCAACGAGGCTATTCAACAAATGAACTGAAGGAAATACATATAGTTTGGATACACATCGAGGAAGCCGAAACCGCTGGATGAAGTTGCGTGCCAGTCCTTCTGATGAGATGCGAATGGGAAACGATGAGTTGGGCGTCGGAGGGTAACATAGAGGAGATCGTAAGAGAAGGTAATGAAAGCTTATGGCAAATCGTGGAACCAACCAGAAAGGACTGCAATGAACGGAATGAAATGGGAATTTGCAGATGATGCCCTATGTTCTACTCGGAACTCAAGGGAATAATAATGTAGTGAACATTTTGTTTTGTAAAGTATTCCTGAAATTGTTTCTTTATTTTTTTCGCTATATGAAAGTTTTTCAAATCCCTTAATGAAAACGGAGTTGTTATTATTTTGTTGTTCTTTATTTATTGTAATATGATATTGTTTTTTTTATTATACCTGATTAGTTCACAAACAGACTGTCAAGATCCCAATTTGTCACAGTATCAACGTTCTGTGATTCCAAAAAGCCTTTCACTACCACGCGTTCCACCCTCTGTACCAATCCTACCAGCTTCACTCTTTGACAGACCACCACCACCACTACGATTAGTAACACCGAATAACGTCACTTCTAAAATTCCACAGTTACACTATGCTCATCTTATGTTGCCTGATAATCCAAGTGACTGTTTCACAATTGGTGCACGCCATGATAAAAAGGCTACTCAACCTTCAGAGAAAAAAGACAGTAGTTGTGAAAACGTACATTCAGTTCAATCGTTGCCACCTGCAATATCTTCTCATTCAATTCCTTCTGAGACAAATGAATTTCTCAACTGTAATTGTAACCAACTTAGTGACCAGAATGGAGATTTTTGTTCGCAGGAAGTAAATTATGTCACTATAGATATGCGACAGACCAAAGCACTTTCTGAGCTGGAACAAGAACTACGCATCAGTGGTGAACCGATGCGCAATTCTGGTCTGCATAGACTATGGTCGGAAAATCATCGTTATGATCAGATAAAATGTGCTAATACAAAAAGTGGTAATAAAATCTCTGAATTACGCAAACATTTTACAATATCATGGAATCTTCCAAACTATATCGTCAAAAGAAAAGAAGAAGTGAGTATGATTTTGTTTTAATAAATCATGAGCACATGTATGTCACTTTCATTTTTTTAATCTTCTACTTCATTCATATGATTTCCTGTAGATAAAAATAGTTTTCCTATTTAGTGATGACAGTTTTATAAATATACTGAGTAATGGATTATTACTCAAAGTTTGTTCTCATTTCAACCTTTCTTTCTATTCTAAAACTATTCACTCAAGATATTTCAGAATGATCGAAGCTCTAAAATCGGAGCTTTACCATACCGGAGTGTTTACTCAAGGAAAACAATCGCCGCCATTTGATGATGTCTTCCCATTGACCTGAATTGATAATCTCAGCTACACGTACTTCACGGATTTTCGTTATATTCGTGAAGGCTCACAAAATTGCTAGAAGCCGTATGCGAATAATCTTCAGCAGCTGTTGATTAGATTCTATGGTTTATTGATAAGATTATGCCTACTAATCAAGTTCATTTTTTAAGATGTCTTGGAGAGAAATAGTTTTCCACTTTGTGGACAAACGCAAAGTGTCTTCGTATCTGTCGTTGCACTAATGTACCACTTTTCTTTAATTTGAATTATCTACACTCCTTTCAATTACCGCATCCTATGTAGCCCTATGGTAACTGCTAATGCCCATAGTCTCTTAAAGCTTGCCTTTATCCTGCTGAAAGCTCATCGCGAAAACTGAATGTCAATGTCCCCTACCCGTGAGTTAGCCTCACTAACCCAAATGTGTGCATCTCAGATCACTGATGTTTGCTAGAATTGTGACACGCACATTTACACAATCGAGCAATTATGGGAATCCACTTGGTGACTTCTGATTAGGATGGTGAGTTTATACCATTTGGCCTTGGGAAGATTCAAAACTAGTTTTCATAATAGTCTTCTTTTCTTTATCATTAAGTTGCAGAGTGAATAGAATTTTCTCACAGAGACCAATCTTGCATGAACTAGGAAGGTGCAAGTTATTTGAAGTAGTGAAGATCAGTTAACCATAATAAATTTGCAACAGAGATATATTAGGACCAATACTCGTGGGTATTAATCTGCCTAGTACTAGTATAATAATTACTTATGACCAGTTAGAGTAATTGAAAAAGGAATGGTATTTTCTTTTTTATTAAATTCTCACAATAATTAATCTGATCAAAATAGGCCTTGAAATTCTAGATTATAGTATCATCCAATGTCTAGTTAAAGCTTTGTAAACAGAAAAGTTGCAGTAACTGCTCAGTTTTCGTAATCGTCCAGAAATGTATGGACAATGTCTTCATTATTCAGTTGATCTTAGAACATAGGCATGCTCAATTCTTGACTTTTTGACTATTTCCCTGACTAAAAGTTGTATTTGTGCGTCGGTAGAGTGCTGGCCAACCATGCACGTGGTCCAGGGTTCCAGTCCAGGCCGACGTATACCTTTACCTCCCTTAGCCGGTTATAATCCCGACAAAGAGAGTGGGCTGAACGTTAGACTAGCAACCTCACTCCAGAAAAAATAAACACAACTGCTACTGAAACTTCAAGGCTCTACCTTCAAGCCCTATGTTTCACTGGCAACGTAAAGGAATTAGAAAAAAAAGGTGGTGTTCGATTGTTATATACCGTCATCTCTTTGAAGGCTCTCTGTACTTGGACATTTGTAACGTTGTCTCAGCCTAAGCTATCATGAGTGATACTTACACCTCCCATTTTTATTTGATTTTGTTTATTTATCAGTGGTATAATAATGATCATTGAAAGACATCCTTTATTATCTCAGAATATGCCAAAGTAAAGCGGAAAGGATGGGCATGAGGCTAGCAACCCCATCCTGTAAAAAATAAACACTGCTACAGAAAATTCAAGCCACTAGCTGGAAGCCCTATGTTCCACTGGGGAACGTGAAGGAAAAAAAAGTTCTGCTGTGTAAAAAAGGCTGGAAAAAAGGGAAGTATCATTAAAAAATTATTTGACAAACATTTTTCAGGTCTAATTACCTATTTACCGCTAGCTTATGAAAAAACATTTGAGGTAAATGAAATACGTTTAGGCATAGTGAACATAGTTGTCAGTCATCATTATATACGATAAGTAGTTAACTGCAATCTTGTCGTCAACTCTCTGGTTTTTTTCAAAATTCTATTACCACCTCTGATCAGTATCTTGTAGTATGACATTTATAAAGTATTTCTCTGGTTTTCATGGAAGATCTCACAGTTGCCTTTTTTTGAATGAATAAAGGCATCACAGAGTAATACAACATTCCGACTTCTCCCATATTATTTGAATGACTTTTCTATGGCATAATATGATACTAAACTTTGAGATTTATAAAAGTTCAGTTTAATTAATTGTACTTCTAGACCTGATCCTTCTTCTGACGTCTGTTCTAATTCTCGTGGGATTTTATTTTTAAACAAAGACTCATATATCTGTTAATTGATTAGTTTAAAGATGCTTATAGGGCTGTAGTTGTGATCCATCATGTAGTGTTTTGTTTATTATCTTATAAATTTATCTTCTTCCTTCTAGCCTCAGTACAGCTGGGAGCAAAATAGATTTTTATTATTCTAATAGTAATATGATGCAAACTGACGTATGCGCGCATACATGTCAGTCAAAAGGTGGTCTAACAATGCGATCACAAGGGGTAGAGGATTTTAACTCCACAATGATTAATATAGTTATACTGATAAACTATCATTTCTAAATAACAAATCTTATAGAAGTTATAATATTAATAATAATGTTAACTTTTAAGCAGTGTAGACAAATCCTGAAATGTTACTACTACTACTACTACTTCCTTTCACATAAACACTCCATTTCACTCAAACATACCTGTACGAGATTTAGAAACCTATATTTTACTCTCGTGGGAGCATTTTTCTGAAGCATTGAGCCGACATACACGAAAATGCTCATATGATCCATTATTTCCTAGTCCACCATCGATGCATTTGGCAACTTATTTTGTGGGAAATAAACCTCACATTATTGTTTCGTCTTATCTGTGTATTCATACTGAGATATTTGTATTCCCTAATGAACTTCTGCAATTTGACCTCTTCTCTTTATTTCACTTTATGCCCTTATTGCAGATATGATACTTACTATAGGGTTATGGAACTACTGCACGCTAAAGTTAAGGGATTAAATACCTTGTAACAATTTGTTTGTTATGAATATTAATTATTAGCCTTTGGTTGGTTACAAAACTGATCAAGAGCTGACATCAATTAGAGAACAATTAGAAAAAACCTGGGAGTACTGGACAGTCGTTTCGCCCTAGCTTGGGCCTCTTCATCAGTACGTACCTACCGAGTTTCGAACCCAGGACTTTCCGTCAACGAGGTGGCCTCGTAGATCATTAAGCCACCAGAATCCGACCCAATAACTCCTACCAATTCGTGAAATATATTTAGCGCAACCGCCAGCCAAATGTCACAGGCGAGAAGCTGTCAAGTGTTGGTTGTTTACAGCGTGCATCTATAAAAAGAGTCAAGCTAAAAATGTCTTCAGATATCTGTACTTAGAGTCAACCCTCACTCCTGCACTATTGGCTAACCTTAATGCATTCATCTTAAGAGTACCAGAAGTTTGTATCTCAGATTTTTTGAGAAATACGTATTTTGTCCTTAAGTTTATCACAAGACAATATACATACATATTGAGCTATAGCAATATATGCAGTTACACACAACCATGCAATAGGATGTATGGGATAAAATCTAATGTAACAGGGTGAAGGCAGAGATTGATAACGGAAGCTTTGTTTACCGAATCAGCTGTAAACATGTGCAATAGGAATGATTCAACACCTGTCCCAGACATCTGAATACTTCCCCTACGACAAATAGGAGAGAACAAAGAAAATTATAAAACTCAAGTTTCAAAGTCGTGTGATTACAATTTATATGATTATAAACAATAAACTGTGCTCGAGACTTTGTCATCCAGTAGATAATACCGTCTCATTGTGTGATATATCTAATAAACAAACTAATATGGAATATTCTTGAGAGGTTGCTTTCTTAGTCATCAGCCTATACTTTAAGTGTTTACTACTCATTCTTGCTCTTTTTTAATTCTATGAAGATTCCCCTGACGCATAATAATTCTACCATAAAACTGAAATTGCAGTGATATGCCTAGAAATCAAACTAAGTTCCTGATAGCCATACAAACTATATAGATTAAAGTATGCAAAGATGTATTCATCATAAAGGATTTTGGAATTGATCATATCTGAATTTCAATATATTTTGTCCGATAAGGTACAAAAAAGACCTGGTGAGGACATTGTCCCAAGTTCACTGAAAAATGTTTTGCGAAAGAAAGATTTATTGATGAGCTGACCATTATGTAAAAAGTGTATACGAGACAATGGATATTCCCAAAAATTTATTGATAAACACAAGGGAATACCCAATATAAAAGTGATATTTTATACAGTAAAGAAGAAACCAATCTTTCCTGATTTTCGATTCTAAATTGATGATGTATTTGAAAGGATTCATTACAAAATAAATGCTGCTCCCAAGCAAACTTATCCAACTGCCAACTTAGTCACAATTTACCGAAAAAATGCTCACGGAGACAATATTAGGTTGACAAGTCCCCTTTTCATGTTACCTCCAACTGCATATACCAATGTGCACATACGTACCAAACCGTAAGTGCATGGCAAGAATAGAAAAATAGGATTTGTGACCGCATATCCCAAGAAACTTGCATCTAAAAGGTGCAAAAGTCCTTAGTAGTACGATTACCCGCCACCTGTTAGACGGCGGTCATGAAATCATTATATTAAAATCCTTTAAGATCAATAAAGTTGAAGACAGCTTCAAATTGCTATATATCAATGAAGTATTTGCCATTAAACGATTAAAACTGAATTTATGCATCCAGAAGGAAACCTTGGCAGTTAGTCGCTTTTCATTTTTGTTAATTTTGTGTTGACATTGCAATTTCCTACCCTAAAATTGTCTTTATCTATATTCTTAACCTGACCCTTTTTTGACCTCTATTGAACTAAATCATTTGAGCTTGACCACGGATTGATATCAGCTAGAGAACTACTGAGAACCCTGGAGGTACTGAAGAGCTGTTTCATTCTATCTTGGGAATCATCGGCAGTACGCACGCACTGCCAGGGCTGTAACCAAGGTCCTTCCGGTTACAACAATCCATGGTCAAACTAGTATAAACAAATCTAATCCTTACAAACCGACCTCTCGAAAATTAATCTCATGCTTGCTAGTAACTTGGTACAGGACAGAGTTTCCTGGAGTTCTAGGGAGAAATCGTGATCAGTGAGGTTCATCCACTCAACTGTGAAGATGGATTTCCCTCCAGTGACATTGGTTGGTGGTCTCACTAGCTATATCATGAATTGGTAGAAGTTAGAATTCGTGGGTCGGTCATTGAATCGGGTCCCAGTGGATGAATGGTATACGAGTTCGCCTTGTAACCGGAAGGTCCTGGGTTAGAGCCCTGGCAGTGGGTGCGTACTGACGATGATTCCCAAGATAGGATGAAACAGCCGTCCAGTACCTCCTGGTTTTCAATTGTTCTCTAACTGATATTAATCTGTGGTCAAACTCGTATAAACAAATCTATTCCTTACAAGCCAAACTCTTGTAAATTATTTGAACCTTACTTAAGTGTACTATTGATTTGATGCCTCCCAGAGTATTCCTTACTGTAACAACAGAAGACAAGGGCCGGCAACAGATCGTTTTATTACGGAAATCAACACGTATTTATGTATATTTCACATACATTACTATAGTTTATTCAAGTAAACAAACACAGTCTTCTGATTGGTTGTTTCGGGTAACCATCGAAAAGTAGAGCCATCTATCTGCGAATCATATTTACCCACGTTAAGTTTGCTGTGATTGGTTGTTGAATCAGCCTTGTTCATCTTTTCTCGCGGCCAATATTAGTGACCTAGACATTGGCGTAGATTAATGTCTACCATTTGGCTAGCAGCCTGCTCTCACTACATTACTAATAAGTGTAGTAACGACTTTCATTTCTTTCCATTATGCTATTTAATCACGTGATATTAATAACCTTCAACATTATGATCAGAAACTAAAATATTCTAATATTTTATATATTAATATTAAATTGTTTATGAGATCATGCAGTTATGAAAGAAACCAACAAAAGATAATCACGTTATTTTTATTCTCCTCAACATTGGTTCTTGTTGCTTTATTCAAATTTTAGTTTTCGCCAATGGTTTAAATTCATCATTATATTTCAGGCGAATGTTTCTTTTGCCTATGAAAAAGTTTTAATGATCTGTGTATTTTTTTTGGTTTAATTATTTTTCACGTTCATCTAGCAGCAAGTGTTAAGCTGTGAAATGTCTTTACTTTTTTGTCTTCTTCCTTTCTATAGACAACATGTGGAATAACGAATTTAAACAGAAATAAACAAAATCAAGAAAATGTATCTTCTTCATTAACTAGTCGTTTTTTAAATCGTATCATTCATTCATTCCATCTTCGATCGCATAATCATCACTGATTATCATGATTAATCCATTTCACATCAGCATCTTTATGATTGATTGCACATCACACATACAGAGGATCTTGACAAATTGATCAACAACCGGTTAAACTTATTAGAAAATATCTTTTTCCTCTTTTTTAATCACCGATGAAATGCATCACTTTTAAACAGTACTAATGTTGTATAAAAATATTACTTTTATATTATGATTATAATTCATTAGTTTGTTATTGGTAGCTCTATATAATACTTGTGACAGAATGTCTCACATTATTATTATGCAATCTCCTATTTTTGTTATACCAGTACAATATATGGTTAACAGCTACTATAACATCTTTTGTAAATGAATGAATGAATAAATAAGTGTATCAATATCTCATATATAGTTGCACAAGTATACCAGATTTTTGTAACTTACTATCATTATTCTTATTATTACTTTTAATTTTCTTTCTTTTTTTCGTTTCTCTCTTTATTTAAAGAGTGTTTTACTTGTATGTACATAAACTGATTGATTAATGAGCTTAGGCATAGGGTGGTATGTTTCCTCAGCTTTAAAGAATACCATGTTATGGAATGAAACGTTTACACTGGCAATATGCGCGTACACATATATATGTATGTATTCTTTGTATATTATTTTCTTTTCCGATTGATTAGGTTTTACTAAAAAGTAAACAATGCATTCATTTACGCCATATATTTATTTCCTATCAATTTGGTTTGTACTGATTTTCACTAATCTACTTTTTTTTCTTCTCTTGTTTGAGTTTAGTGCCTTGTTTTATTTTTCATAATAAAAAGAATTATTACTGTAATGGGTGTATTTCTAATTATTGAAAATTGATGCAATTTCAATTATGCATAGCATGTTATTATATACTACTGTAATGACAGATGACAAGGGTCAGGCAACAGATCGTTTTTTTTTGAGAAAATTGACCGATATTTATAGATTTTTATGTAGATTATTGTCAGCGGAGAAGCAACGTCTTCTCATTGGTTGTTTTCTTGCTGAAGGTTATTCTGTACTGTTTGTGACCGTTTCTTAGAAAGTTAAGCCATATATCTGCGAATCGTATTTGCACACATTAAGTCTACTGTGATTGGCTGGTGAGTTCCTCAAGGTTAAGCTTTGTTAGGGTTTTTTCTCATGATCCAGATTCAGGACGTGAACACAGACCTAAATTGTTGTCTACAATTTCGGCTTGCAGACAACTCTCACCGCACTACTACACGATATTTGTAGCTTCCTGATTCCATAGATCACCAGTGAGATGGGAATTTCCAACCCTAAGACTCGTGGACTGTTGTACTCATATATTGTTAGTAGTTTTTTTATCATTAAGGAGTGTTACTATGGTTGCGTATCCGTATTTCTTTTCAAAAAATTGTATCTATTGTAGATTCAATTACATAATACAAAAATTAGATTAGAGCGCCAGAATATTAATTCGGAGGAGCTGTTATTTTGTAGTCAGATTTTCACTATTTCTCAGCCGGCACATCACGTCACGGCCTATCAACCTAATTTACGAAATACCAGTTACTGTGTCCGTTCAATACTTTAAAAGCATTGAGTCTTGTAGAAGCTTCACCAGTGTGCAGGATATGAAAGTGAACAAAACTCACAAAAATGTCTGATAACCTTTCTGATTATATTTGTCTATGTGCGTCGGTGGCACGGTGGTTAGGACTCTCGCCGACCATGCACATGGTCCGAGGTTCGAGCCCACGCACACTTGATATCTCTGTCCGGCCTGCGAATTTCGGGCTACCGATATCCACGCTGAAAATTCCATACTTGTACCAAAAATACAGTGTGGAATCAAGCTGTAATCAAAAAAATAAAAAAAGTAAAATAAATCTCAACGATTTCGCTCTTTGAGGTTAAACTGATTACAGGTACAAACCGTGGCAGGTCAGATATTGTACATCATTCACTCACTTTTTCTTCCAAGGTGTTAAAATCGCTGGGTTACCTAGCCATCCTTATCTAAGAAGAGCATGTTGCTTGTAATATCTCTGTATCACCAACCGACACTTCAGAATGTTGGAACTTCGTTTTTCACCTAAACATTTTACGAAATTATATGGGAGCATAGCTATCCAAGATAAGAGCTTCCTATGAACTATCAAGTAGCTATGAGTGTGAACAAAAAGCCTTTTCTTAGAATTTGTATGTAAAACGCTGAGAATCAGTAGGCCAAAAAGTATGACCAAAATCATATTTTAGTTATACATTGTTGGACAAGTGTGTCTGGCAGGGTGTGTAACGTATGGTTTTAAATTTCATAAATGATAGGATCCCACATATTTTGGTATTGACTGTTTAATCTTGCATATATGGTATGTTATCATTCTCACACATTTTGGTATTTACTGTTAATCTTGTATATATGGTATATTATCATTCCCACACATTTTGTTATTGACTGTCAATCTCGCACATATGGTATATTATCATCTCTCACGCACTTTGTTATTGGCTATTAAGATAAATTATTTCAAATGCTGTTAGCTGTCCATATTGTTGTAAAATGTATAAATACCATGGCTTTCTTTGTCGTTGTTGCACTTCAATACAGTCACAGTCCAGCCTTTGTCTTTTGATATTTGCGTGCTTTACTAAATCGGAAGGTACGACGAGCAGATAGGCAGATTAGTTCAGGCGCAGACAGAGCAAGGTGAAAACGTCTTCATTGAATTCCCTACAGTTATAACAATAAAGTCAAACCATTTATATTTTCATTCTTTGCGTTTCGAGTAGAACATAGGGCTTCCAGTTTCAGATTTTCTATGACGATGGTGTTGTTTTACACAGGTGGGATTGGTAGTCTTATTCCCAAACTCGCCTCTTTACTGAAATAGTAAACTCGGCGATGTTTAGCAGTGCGTCAACGGCAAATAGAACCAGGGCCTCCCGCTTGGCTGGCGAGTATTTTACGATTGAACCAACGATGCACAGATACTGAATGACGCCCCTCATCTTTATTGGACGTATTGCACAGTGGAACAGTATTATTTACCGGATGACCTTCCGAACACAAATTTTTGCTCATAATCATATTAACTGGTCATGAATATGAACAACAAATTACTTTAGAAACGTCAACTAGTAAATAATATTATTTCACTGTGTGACTTATCCAATGAATACGAAGATAACATAGGACTATACTGCCCAAGTTATATATATATATATATATATATATATATATATATATATATATAGCCTAGCACGTTTGTCACACAAATACTATTAATTCTGACACCCATAACTAATCTGTTATTCCACGTTAAAAATGTATCCGCCGCATAACTGGCCATTACTGCAACGAAAACAAATACTATATTTTATAATTGTAAGTACCTGAACAGAAGTTATTGAAAAGAATATTCTTCGTTCAGATTGACTTTTAATTCATGCTATGGGAATATTTCACAATATTAAATCTTAAAATAAGAATATAGATGATTACGTATCAGTGGTAGACTGCTCACTGACCACGCCTCCCGTAGTCCAAGGTTCGGTCCTCTGCCGACGCACTCGTAGACCTTGCTAAACTGGTAAAGAGGGAAGGTTGCCCGTGAGGCTCGAGTGGGGCATCCGAGGGAAACATAGAGGTGGTCATGAGAGGAGATCAAAAAGTATGCGGGCGATCGAGGGACTAACTAAAGAGGATCTCAGAGAATAGGACAAAGTGGATGCGTACTTTTGAAGCCCTATGTTCCCCTCGGAACTCAAGGGAACAATAATACTAATAATAGAACTAGGATATAACAGTTGCGAAGTACTTTCTCTAACCGATCTCATTTCGTGATCTAATCTACAACGTGTATTGACTGTGAAACTTTATTATGCTTTCTACTTTTCTGCCTAATATGAATACAACTCTACCGCTTGAAAATTAATTCTTTGAAAAGAATTATCCCGTTGCTAATTATATATTTATTAACATACTTGAATTGGCCCACCCTTAGCAACTTTTTATATATCAATGCTGATACAAATTAGTGAATATGAAATACAACCATTCAGTGCAACAAATGTGACCCTACAAACATTCGGTTTTACATTAGTAATATTATGGGAGAATTACACCTGTTTCATAGTAGAGACTTTGTAATTAGTACACAGACTGATAGTATGTTTAAACGCAAAGCCGTGCCTCGTCCACTTAGGCAAAGTTAAACTTTAATCACCACTAGCACTACCAATCAGCTCATGACCTCAAACGCACCAATCATGTGAAGGAGGCATTTTTGTGTATGGAATACATACATATTTGCAATTGATAGTGTTCTCTGAGCTCCTTGGTTTAATTGCGGAGCTTTCATCGTCTTTCTGGACGACATCTTCAGCGCAGTATTAAGGATAAAGTGAAATGATTTAAATTTCTTCATGAGTCTCCCGGTAACCATCTTTAGATATGTATTGACCGTTTTCTATTGATTGGGATTTTGAAATTTCTGATCACCTGATTTACTTTTTATTAGTTGGTATATTTCATCTATATTAACGTGTTTATTAATTGCGTTTTCATTTGAGTACCAGGCTTCTAGGAATTCCCTGGCACATTTGGTGTTTCCTCTGTTTAGGATTTTGACATTATCCCAATCAAATTGATGTCCATAATCGCCCAAAGTGGGCGTCCCCTTCGAATAAGAATCCAGGAACACAAATCAGCCGTGAAAAGACATGATATAAATTCTTTAGTATCAATGCATACAGACTATTATGGACATCAATTTGATTGGGATAATGTCAAAATCTTAAACAGAGGAAACACCAAATGTGCCAGGGAATTCCTAGAAGCCTGGTACTCAAATGAAAACGCAATTAATAAACACGTTAATATAGATGAAATATACCAACTAATAAAAAGTAAATCAGGTGATCAGAAATTTCAAAATCCCAATCAATAGAAAACGGTCAATACATATCTAAAGATGGTTACCGGGAGACTCATGAAGAAATTTAAGTCATTTCACTTTATCCTAAATACTGCGCCGAAGATGTCGTCCAGAAAGACGATGAAAGCTCCGCAATTAAACCAAGGAGCTCAGAGAACACTATCAATTGCAAATCATCCACCTGAGTTACAAATCTTTTCTATTAATACATACATATATTTATGAAATAATGCATAAAAGTGTTACAGAGGATACCTTTCTCTCACTTGTGATAAAAATAGATCTCAGTTTTAGGTTGGTATCAACAATTATAATTCCATAGTGGGTAAAATTCATTTTGATAAAGTGTCATAGTGTAATACAGTAATATTTCCTGAGCGATAAATTGTGCTCGAAACGTCATCATTAAATATTACCGTATAATACTGTAAGACTTTATCAGAATAAATCTTACCCACAATGGAATTATAATCTACCGATACAGTGCACAAGTTCTGTTCTTATATCAACAGAGTCATTTAACCACATTATATGCATGTAATTATTCAGGTCTTCTAACCCTACCCTAACAACAACCCAAATCTTTGCTGAACCTAACCCTAACGTGAAAATATTCCCAAACTAACTGTAATCTAATTTGAACGAACCCTAAGGTAGTCACCTTAGTTAGGTTAATCTAACCCTAACTTTTTCTTACCTTTAAGCGTAACCTAATCTTTCCCAAACCTAAGCTGAAACTTGCCAGATATCCCATTTAACAATAACGTAACACTTCACAATGAGCATATTTTATTTCGATGGTGACAACATTGTTAGCCAGGTTTCACTAACTTGATCATTGCGCGTTTCAAAGTCACTGGTGCGGTTGCACTCCATAGGTAGTTAGTTAGTGGTGCTTAAAGTTTAACTTAGCCTCCACTTATTCCGATATTTGACACTGTCAAACTTCTACCACATGGAAGTTATTTTTTAGAGGGAAGAAATTATTTTTAGGTATAAAGTTTATTTATTTTTCTTCAAAATAACATTTTGACTAATTTCAAATATTATTACATGCTCAGCAGGTTAAAAACTTTAAAATATGCTGCAAAAACTATAAAGGCAACAACAACATGATAAAAGAAGACTCCAGGGTGTGTGTGTTTTTCCCCACCGATTTAAAATAGATAAGGTTTAAAAATAAACAGAAAAAAGAAGTAAATAAATACTGAAAAGAAGATAAAGTGTTGAGCATTTAAAATAAAGAAGAAATATTAATAATCATAAAAAGATGCTTCTATCGGGGTTCTTTTTAAAAAATAAAAAAAAGGGATTATGTATTCATCCAATGGGAGAACCAGTCAATTTTTGTAGTCCATGCACCGGAATACGCTTCATTGAACTTATGATGAAAATATTCCAGGGCTTCTTTTTCATTGTCAATATCAACAGCTAAAGTTTTTCTAACATATTCTAAATCACATACTGATGTCAACTCAGGCAGACCAGACGGTATCATCATAGCTAGCAAAGTAAGTATAAGATTTGAATGTTTACGTAATAGTAGATAGGCTTTACCACAGAGATCAGTAAATTCTTGAAACTGTATATTATTATATGCAAGATTAGTATTACCACCCCCACCAGCACCGGTACCACTAATACTACTATTACTGTTAGTAACAGATATTGTACTGTTCACAGTTAAATTACTATTTATTATCGTACTAGTTGTTGTTGCTGTTGTTGTAATCATTGTTGCACCAGCATCTGGATTACCACGTGCTATTACAGTAATAAAATCTTTTGTCAATACAAATGGTACACGTTCACGTGTAATACCAAATTTTTTCTTACGATTATCTAATATATGTCCAAAATCAATATGAAATAATCGACCAGTTGAATCAACCATTATATTATCTGGATGTCTATCACGTATACCTAAAATAAATGTAGCAATACAATAACCAGCACATGACATAGTAAATGTACGTATCATACGTTCATAGACAGAATTTTCACCAAATGGTGATTGATTCATTTGTCTTGCTCTTTGTTTAGCATGTTGTGATAACCATTTATATAATTGTGTTGAATCAATTTGTAAAGCAGAACGTAAACGTTCACCTTGTATTGACATAACTGTACGTGAATCACGTACAGCTTCAATAATTCCCATTTCATAACCTGTTGCAAAACATCCATAAGATGTTAAACACATATCCATACCTTCTTCTTTCCATATACGATCCATGACCTAAACAAATAAACATATATGAGCAATGAATGAACTATTATTTGAAAAAAATATGCATGTATCAATTAAACATTTAAGCTTTACTAAAATACATCAAATGTCTGAACCACCTGCCACCAACTTCTGTTTAGAGACAGTATGAATCTAGTATTTAACACTGTGATGTCAACACGGTGGTGTGTACAGCCTTTTTTTCGTTCTTTGTGTTCCTAGTGAAACATGAAGCTTCAAGCGTTTGTAATTTCAGTAGCGGGGAAGTTTTAGCTACATGTAACAGAGCTGTTAATCTCATGCTCAATCTTTCTTTTCTTTTTCGCCCTCATTATCGACTAGTAAACTGTGTGAGTTTTCGGAGTACTTCAACCAGAAATTGAAACTGGACACCGTAAGTGATTAGTCAGTGTTCTATCATTGAAACAATGATGCACGAAGCCAAAAAGCGTTAAATGGCTAATTTGTCCGCGTGTGTGACTTTTCATCAGTGTGCACCAAGGATCGAGCCCAGGACCTTCAATTTGCGAGGCTACTGGGGTGGAAAACAATGATTAACCCCTACTACTTTACACTCTAGCATATATAAAATATTGGCACGTGTACATGTATCAGACTGAGCTATACTTCAGTCGCTTAGAATGAAGTCAGTAGAGTGGGATTCGAACCTATTATATTTATAAGAGGCAGATAGTGACACATTCAGTTATTTGGCTCCTTTAGAGAATAATGTAATAATAAAGAATAATGTAACTCACTTATTCGGATCATGTTTAATAGGCGCTTAGTCACTAGCTATATTGAATGTGTTAGGCTTTAAGAAGCTATTTCATCTCAAAGGCTAAAGTGGGGCAAGGTTTGAAGGTGTAACTCACTAATTTAAAGTCTATCGACTGCAATATAATTCCTGGTATTATTGAAATAATTCTATTACTGATCGAAAGGCCAAGTGTACCTACATATGCAGCAGTTCGACCCATCTTGTTAACGGTCACCAAAAATGGCCATTGAAAGTACAAGGTATGAGAAGACTACAAGTTCTTGATCATATATGTTTTCGTTTAATTGCTCACACTATGTCTAGGAACACGATGAATATTGTTGAGAATAGGTGGGGAGACTTAAGTAAAGGGAGACGGTAAGTCAGTGGATGCTATTGTAAGGCTTCACCGATTGTGATGACTAAAACCCATTTTACACATGGTAATGACAACTGAAGTACGATTAGGTCAGAAAAACGTAACGGGTAGTCAGACCAAAACATGTGACCGGTTCATAAAGTCAGTAACTGTTATCAGGGCCCGTTAAGTAGGTGTATGCTTAGTTTTCAGATTTTTTGGGAACAAAAAGTCATAGAATCTTGTCGATACAGCTGAAAAACCTTATGTATTTTTGGAAATATGGCAACCTGACAGATGCACTTCTGTGCAAAATCCTATGTTATTCTCTCAGTCAATCAGTCTTTAATTACAAATAAATCATTTCTTTTTTCATTTGTTAAATGAAGACATGCCTTTAAATGATTTCACCTTCAAAGCTGTGTTAAAACTGATGAACCACAAAACATAATTGCTAAGAACCGGTATATATATATATATAATTACAGCTTGATTCGACACCGTATTTTTGATACAAATATGGAGTTTTCAGCATATGATATTGGTAGCCCGAATTTCGCAGGCCAACCATTGATATCAGGTGTGCGTCGGCAGGGGATCGAACCCCGGACCATGTGCATGGTCGATAAGAGTCCTAACCGCTGTGCTACCAAAAAGAAAGCCAGATTTACTAGAAGCAGCTAAGTAAAACCAAATGACCAACAATAATGCATTTACTAACTAAAACAAAAAAAAACACAAAACATACTCTGAGTAATTGAAGAGTAAGCATATCTTGTCGAAGATCATCACCATGTTTAAATATCATTTGATAATGTGTATGATGAAATTCTGCCAGTCTATCTGAATTAGTCCATACAAGCCATAGAGGACGTTTTTTAGATCGTTTAATATCACATTTATCAATTACTAATTCACCTAAAATTTGACTTAAACACAATGGAGATGGTAACCATTGAAGATCATGCAATGTCTCGGGTCGAGTAATTTCTTCACGAAAACGTTCACGTTGTTCATCTTCATTAGTTAATTCTTTGACACGTGTACTCAACGCTTCTAAACGATTAAGAGCAGTCACTTGACGAGATAGTAAAACTAATAATGGTCCACAACCACGACAAAAAGCTTCTAAAATCAGACCAAATCGAAGTCTTATATCTGGTAGATGAAGTTCAGAGCGTAAATGCCAAAAGAATTGTAAACCAATTTGTAGAGGATTTCTCAATGCACGATATAAAATAAAACGCGTTAACGCATTGTCCAAATATGCTTCAGCTTTAAGCGCCTAAATAATAATAGTAGTATAAAACATTATAGTGGAATAAATGTTTAAATTCTTGTATTGTTAAATGATGTAAATAGACATTCATAGAATAAGACAAAGAGAATACTTCATTTTAAAAAAATACATGCAGTCAGAATAGTCTTTAGGATACTGACTGATAATCTGTCTAATTGATATAAGGATAAAACTTGAGCACTATGGTAGAGTATAATTCCATTATGGATAAAAATTCTTTTTATTTTGATAAAGTCACACAGTGTTTTACACTAATATTTACTGGTGACCACGTTCCGAGCACAATTTATTACTGTTCGTAATCATATTAAGGTACTCATACAACTTTCTTGCTTCGTTTATATGCATGGGTAAAAATTCATTAGGTATATGAATAAAATCCATAAAAGTTCAACAGACATGTGTGAAACAGAAAAAAGACAAAGTATATTCAGAAATAATATTAGTGTTATCAATAAAAAATAATAGGATGGGAAATAAGGTGTTTTTAGTGACTTTATCAAAATAAAATCTTATCCATAATCATAATCCATCCCCTAACTAAAAATGAAATATCGGTTACAGAACGATTGGAAAATCTAGGAGTATTGGACAGCTGTTTCGTCCTAGTTTGGGACTCTTCGGTAGTACTTACCCACCTCCAGAATCTGAACCCAAGATCTTCTGGTTACAAGGCGAGCTCGTAGACTATTAAGCCACTGGGACCCGATCCAATGGCCCATGAAGACTGTCAAGCTAGGATGAAACAGTTGTTCAGTTCTCCCAGGTTTTCCAATGGTTCTCTAACCGATGTCAGTTCATAATGAAATCTCTCCAAACAATCAGACAAAATCCCTACAAATCAATACTTGAAAATAAAAATAAAATATACTGAAATTGAGAGATGAGACGTTTATGTGAGTCAATAAATGCCTCCCTTATGAACTAAACCTTGCTGGAATGTTCTACACTAGATGTTGTATTCTGGTCGTATAGAGAAGAAATATTAGTACCAGTCTCCACTTTTATTACAAGGCATAGTAAAATTACGTGCCTTAATACACGTACAGATGTAAAACACATATATGGCTAGAAGTCCTGCTAAAATAAGGTTGTACATATGAAAATCACTACCACGCTACTTCATTTTTATTGGATACATCACAGCTAAACAGTACGATTTATTAGATGGCATGTTTTGGAAAACAATTTGTTCTTTATGCCATGTGTTTATAAGCAATCAATTATTTTCAGAATTAGTATGGAATTACACACTCCCAAAATGCCCAAGATTTACACATGCTTTCAGTGTAAGAACATCATGTCTACATCTGAAAAGGGAGTTCACTTAGGATCTACAAAAGTACCACAGAAATTTACATCCCATTTTATTCTACTACTGAGTTTAATAAACTGCTACGATATTACAGTCATAACTATCTGATCTGTAGTATTGATATAAGCATAAAACTTGGTCACTATGGTAGAGTATAACTCCATTATGGATAAGATTTTATTTTGATAAATCACACACTGTTATACAGTAATATTAACTGATGACCACGTTTCGAGCACACACTATTGCCACTCATAATCATGTCAACGCACTCACACAACTTTTATCCTTCCTTCATTTATATACATGAGTGGAACTGATTAGACATTTGAATAAAATTCAGTATAGAATAGTGTACATTCAGAAATAATATAATATGAGTGTTATCAATCAAGTACAATCAGATGGGAAATAAGACGAGTGCTTTTATAGTCAAAATAAGTAACTTGTTAGAATGTTATAATGTGCCTGAATTGACATAGAATTTTAAGAATATTTATTATCTTCTTCTGATTTGACTGGCGGTAATAATATCTTCCATATCTCTGGTATCTGCATTGAGTAATTTCTGTTGCATGTGTTGGGTGTGTAGACTCGATGAACCAGGTCAGATTCAGTTATCAATTTCTCTCTCTCCACCTACATAGATTACTTCTTAGAGTTTTAACCCTCTCCAACCCTATTGTGTGACTGTGTGTTAATGCATGCATACAGTGCAATTGCTGAGCTTTTTTCTAAATTACTCATCTTCTCGGGGTCAACCATTCTTACCTTAGCTAAATTCTTATGTTCCGACAATCTAACTACCCCTGACCTACTAGTATGACCTATGTATGTAGTTGACCCCGCTCACAGTCATTCCAGTGTATTTTGTAAATTACATTATTTTATCTAATTGGGTCAACAGGGTCTGTAGTAGCTGAATGATGCCACTAAAAAAAAATTCAGTGTAAATCCTAATAATAAAAGACAGTCCCTTCTGATCACAATAGTTTCAAATTCAAGAACAGTCAGACAGTCATATTTCATCATTTTGAAACGTGACATCATATCTTCACATTATAAATCAATATAAATTACGTAAGAGATTTGAACATAGTTTTTTTCTTGCTATGACAAAGAGTGATTGATAGGCACCATAAGGTAACATAAGTTTGTAATGTGATGTAAGTTATTAATTTATCAAGAATTAAATGGATTGACTCTTTCTATGGAATAATTGTGACGAATATTCTTGAGAAAAAAAGACAGAAATGGAGTTCAACTAGAGAGAGAGAGAGAGAAAGTATATCAATACAAGATGTTACGCACATACACACAATGTTTTTATAAAATACCACTAAAAGAGTAATGTGAGTAATGTTCAGATGAAACAAATAAAAAAAATTTTTCTAGACAAAACTGGAGATATAGGAGAACACATGACGTAATAAAAATGAGAAAACTTCGTTTTGTTAGTTGTAATCACCATCTTATGAATTACTCATTGACATTGTGAAAAAAAAGTTGATTCAAATCTTTTACGTAATTTATGTCTTTTGCACTGTTCAGACTAGAAAAATTGGTGTATATATATATATGATCCTGGCATATTTGTCATTCTTTTTTAATAAACAGAGGAATTGCGTGGAGTTTTTTTTAAAGAAACGACAGACTACTGAGACAGAAGAATCATCTATTTTGTAAATTGATGGTGTAGCTATGGGTTCCCCATTAGGTTCAATCCTAGCTGATATTTTCCTCGTTAAATTAGAGAATGGATCACTGAAAGGAGTAATTAATGACATAGATTTCTACTGTCGATATATGGATGATACATTTGTGGTTATGAAAGATGAGGATGGTGCAATGAAAATCCTTGACAAGTTTAATGATGCACACTCAGCAATAGACTTTACCATAGAGAAAGTAATGACAGTATCTCATTCCTAGACGTCTTCATGGCAAGGAAAGAAGATGGCACATTAAGAAGGAGTGGGTATAGGAAACCTACAACAAGTCTACAAGTCAGTAGACTCACTTTTTTGGATTTTGCACCTTCGAAATATAACCGTAACCTGGTAAAGTGCCTGGTTGATTTATAGAGCTAGGTTAATCTGTTCAAACGACTGCCTCAATGAAGAGCTTACGAATACTAGAGAATTACTTAATAAAAATGGGCATCTAGATAAGTTCATTGGGAAAAATATGAATTCAGCACCTAAGAGAGTCAGTATGGCAACAAGTTCGAAAAAGGCACTGTGCAGTTCCTCGGTGACAGTATCGGCGAAATAATAACGCAGAGCCTGAAGGGTGCAGTTAAAAGAACTTATAATACAGCAGAGGCACGTTCTCTCTTCGCTACCACCCCTATTCTACGTACGAGAAATAAGGATAAACTATCTAAATTCGCCTCCTCTATGTGTATCTACCAGTTTGACTGCAGCTGCGGAGCCAACTACATTGGGCGTACAATTAGGCAGGTTCATCGTCGTATTTCCGAACATCATCCAACGTGGTTAAGCAAGGGACAAAAAAGATCTATTCGTAGTTCTATTTTAGCCCACACCGTTGATAATGAGCATAAGATCGACGTGAATACTGCATTGAAAATTATTTATCGCATTCCGACTTATCTTAATTTTGCTCTGCGAGTTCGTCTTCTACAGACAGCTGAAGCAACCGGAATTCACCTGAAGAAGCCAAGCCTATGTGTAAAGAAAAAATTTGTACAGCCACTTTCCCTACCGTGGCCATCGTCACAAGAATGGATAAACAGGACTGCGTCGCTCCCCTCCCCGAAACTTATAAAAATTATAATTGTCTAAATTATTTATTTTATTTTATTTATTTTGACCACTTCATCTTTAATTTACGTGTTATCCTTGTAAAATTAATTTATTTTATCCATTTCTACCATTTAAATGTGTATTGATCTTCTTCGTTAATTATTAACCCATTGACATTTTGACACTGACTAATTATTGTTAACAAACTTATCGCCACTTGATTGGTAAATTGTTGTGTATTGTAATAAAAATGCTATATATATTAGAGTAGAGCCAGAGATGAGGATCTAATTGAAAAGTAAATATCTCTTCGCTCAATATTTCTGTTTTCTAAATGTCTAAATGGGGAGTTTTTTTCTGTATTTTGCAATAGGCATCAATTATTACTTAATAAATATTTTCAATTATCTGTTGTTTGATCTTTACCAGATTGAAATGACCTGTTTGTGTGAACGCTTCGATTTTTTTTATTCCTTTGCGTTTTGAGTGGAACATAGAGACTCAAGCTTGAGCTTTGAAGTTCCAGTAGCAGTGATATTTTTTGTCAGGGTGGGGTTGCTAGCCTCACACCAAAACTCCCCTGTCTTTGTCTAGCTTACAACTGGCTAGGGGAGGTCAAGGTGTGTACCGGCTAGGAATCGAACCTCTGACCACATGCATGGTTGGTGAGTATCCTATCGCTCAGCCACCGACGCTTCGATGATATCTTTTATATCATTCCTGTAGTTGAGATTTTTTTAGTAAATATCGTTGAAATCCACTATAGTGTAGCATTTCATAAGGTATACTTGAGTATACAATATCAGTTTCAAAGACAACCTGAGTTAAATTGAAGACATAATCATATAAGCTTGTATTTTTCCATTCCTTTTGCTTCCTTAAGCCTAAGCTTCGAAGTTTTAATAGCGATGGTATTCTCTTTTATGTAGTCGGTTTGCTAGCCTCACGCCCGACCTTTCCTCTTCAGTCGGTTTACCATCGTACTAAACAGGATTTTGGGGTGCCTTAGCCAGGACCAAGTGTACCATTGTACTACCATATGTTGCATTTTACTTCTATAAATAAGTCAGTATTTTTCATTAAACATCAAATAGAAAAAACCAACTGCGCATTTTACCATTGTAAAACAACTCACCTGAACTAATTGTAATAGATAATCATTTAATTCAGCATCACTAAGATGATATAAGCTATTTACAGCCAGTTCACGTATATACGCATCAGCTATTCCACTAGCTCCAGTTTTATAACCACTTGTTGAACTTATACTATTCGAATTATTTCGTGTTAAATCAAATGCACCTAATAATTGTAGAGCTGTACCAACATCGAATGGATGCGGCCATTGACTTATAAGCGTATAAAATTCTGTTAAAATATCACGACTGTCAGACCAATTGACAACTTGACATATCCATGGTAATGCATTGGGTAGATTTTTTAAACACCAATAACGTCCACGCCATAGATAATCTTTATCTTGTTCACATAATTCATATAATGGATCACGATTAACTATTTCACGTAGTCTTGACTCTAATAGTTTACTAGCTAATTCATTAATAGTAGAAGGTGAATTATTACTACTTATAACAAGATTAGTAGATTTGTTAATTTGTGAATGTAAAGAATTGAAATCCGCTGGTGTTGTTGATAGATCTACAAGAGGTTTTGTAATATTAGATCGTATTGGTAGACAAGCTTCTTCTGTACAAAAAGAATTGTTCACTTTTGCATTGCTATTTTTATTATCACTGATATTAATGCCATCGTTGTTATGTAATCTTAGAAGACGACCACCTTCTGAAGGGAATTCTTTTCGTTGGTAGGGGTTAATAAATGAAGTGACTGTTGGTCGACGAATACGACCTTGGATAGGATTATTAATTTTAATCTGAAAACACAAAAGGAGGATGTGAATATATAAATAAATAAAATACAATAAATAAATGTTTTAAAAGTGATTTACAAGCGAAGAGGGGAAAAATCCCTTTGTTAATTTATAAGTAGTAACACTTGATGATATCAATTTCGATGATAAAACAATCATACACTGATGATTTATGAAGACTGAGATTAGTACAGGATTAAGGATAAACTACCTAATCTCGTCTCCTGTGTATCTAATCAGTTTGATTGCTCCTGTGGAACTAGTTAGTTACATTGAGCATATAAATTAGACATGTACATCATCAGATTTCTGAATATCACTCCTGCATGGTTCAGTAAGTGACAAACAAGGCATTTTCTTAACTGTGTTTTAGTTTAGCTCACCTTGTAGATACTGAAGACAAAGTCGATGTTAAAAAGGCTTTTTGCCTTACGAGTTCGTCTTTTACGGACAACCGAAGCCTAACTTATGTGTATAGAAGAAGTTCTTTCAGATGCTTTCGCTACCCTAGTCATCATTACTTGATTGTAAAAATCCGACAATTTCCTCTTTTCTCTGTGCTTTTTTTACAAGATATTGTTTTAACTGCCTTGAGATGTTTAATCGAATTTTAGATTTTCTCGTCGATTGATTAGACCGAAGTGCTCTGTCTCAGGTTGACATGTCGGCTACTTGTGAAGATGCTTCAACGATGTCTGTGCATTTAATGAATATTTAATTGGTGGATGGTGACTAGCAGTGGAATCCAGGATGCGCATTTCATCCTGTTTGAGACACATCAGCTGGATGTACTTTTATATCTCAATGAGTGATGATGTTCCCACCGAGGCTCGAACCCATCGACGGGAAAGTCTAAAATTCAATTCAATAATTAATATGACCCGTTGCACAAGAGGTGGCTCTCGTGGCCCGTGGTCTAGTGGATAACGCTTTGGCGTCTGAAACTGTGGGCACTGGGTTCGAGCCTCGGTGGGAACATCGTCACTCAGTGAGAAATGCAGGTACGTCCAGCTGACGATTCCCAAACAGGACGGAATGCACATCCTGGATTCCCCTGCTAGTCACCATCCACCAACTAAATGAATTGAGATGTTGCATAAATTTTTTTAATTTTATCTTATATTCAATTAAGCATTACATATTTATGCGTATTATCACTTATACGTGCTTTTACACTGTAATTCTATTGATCTTAACAACCCAATATTATTTAGAAACAACAGTGTTGTCGATAACGATTACTCTTTAAATATTATGTGTATTATATAACTGAAGAGCTAAGTGAGGAATTTTTCGAAAAGAACAGTTTTTGTTGACATTAGATGGTTGGAGACAATCGGCAGGAAACCTTGGATCTAAGGTTTCGTTCTAGTTGGCACTGGTTAGCGACCTTGAAGGAACTCACGTTCTTTCAGAGATTCGAACACGCGTCACCCAGTGGTGCGGTCAGAGGCATTATCATTGAGCTATTCGGGCTCGCGATTGACCTCCTGTAAGACTGTATTGGATACTTTGATTCGACACTAGTTGGTAACTAGTGTAATGTGTCTAATCCTATCTTTAGTGCAGACTGAATTCTGTCAGTCAAATTTGCCATAGCTCAGTGGACACATCTGTGACTGCAGCACTGAGTGACACCGGTGCGAATCTCAGTAGGGGCGTGAGTTCCTCCAAGGTTGCAGATACGCCTTGTCAACCAACGCCAACTAGAACGAAATCTGGGTCCAAGGGTCCTGCCGATTGACTTTGAACATCTAATATCAATAATTCAAAGTGCACCGCGATGGTGAACCAATTAGAATGGTGGCCATACTGTAAACTTGACTGTTAGAATTTAGTGTGCACCAAACACAAGGTGAGGCACATTACACTAGTCACCAACTAGCGTCCAATCAAAGAATATTCTTTGCTTAATCTGCTTTATATCTTCTAAATGTCTAAATGGAAATTTTCACTACAATGAAAACATCGAGTATAAGAAAGTATTTAGTAGGTGTTATATACTTTTTTACTCGAAAATTTAGGAAATATACACATTCCATGGGATCAAACTTTCGAGACCTTAGAAAGTAAGCATATTAATCTGAAATTGAAAGAGTTATATTCTATGACTTCATACAATCACCCATCAGTATTACAGTATCTTGTTATTCAACTTAGCTGTAGTATCTTTGATGATGAACACATGAATGAAACATACTATTTGAAATGATATCAACATACAATGAAATAAAGAGAAATAATAAGAATATTATTATTGTTTCGTTTAGTTCCTAGAGGAACATAGGGCTTCAGCCGCGCATCTCTATTGAGTTCGGTTCTCTGCTAGTCTGTCTGTCTGTTTTCGACATAGAACTTTGCACAAATGTGCGGAAGTTCAAGTCGCCACATTCCGTGTAGCTAGAGTTTTCACCAGGCTCCAAGTCTGCCTACATACTTTCGTCCCCTCTGCGCATGACCTTCTCCATCTCACTCTTGCACTGAGGACTGGCTCGCCGCTTCCCATTCGGGTTCCACTCGAGTGACGGCCTGACGTGTGATGTCACTTGATGGTTGTCTCAAAGTATGGCCAATCCACCTCCATTTTTCCCTGCATATTTGTGGCACAATTGGCGCCTGATTGTTTCGTTCGTTCCCAGAGATCCCTGTTACTGATCTTTTCTGGTCATTTGATTTTGAGTATTATTGAGTGAAGACAGCTGTTGATGAATGTTGATGATGACGCGCCACGGCTCTGATCCGATTAGTAGCACTGACTTCACATTGGAGTTGAAAATCCGGATCTTATTTTTTATGCTAAGGAGTACTTTTGATCTCCACGCAGACTTGAGAGTAAAGAAAGCTTGCCTTGCCTTCCCAACTCTCGCTTTGATGATATCCTCATCAGTTCTGTCCCCCTGTAGTTGAAACGATGCTTCCCAGGTAGGTAGAGGAGGTTGCTTCTTTCAGATCTCCCATTTATGCTGGCTGATTGTTGTTGCTGCTATTGCTATTGGCCACGAATCTTCATCACCTCTGTTTTCTCTATGTTCACCTATCTTCATTGGACGGTTCTTCTGACAACTTGTTGCTTTTCACCTGCATATCTTTCAGTTTGTGGGAAGAGAGAATTAATAAAATGATCTTTCAAAAACTGAGTGAGTATATGAGGAATGATAACTCGGTAGCTAGTTAGTAAAACTTTGAAATTAAGATAGTAAACAATCAACACATTATTTTAACCCCCTCGTGATCTCCTTTGTCCATGTTGCAAAGAGCCTACAACAATTGAATATTTAACAATATCGAAAGTCCTAGAGAAGCAGCTTATACCTCTGTGTCCATATTGATCAGTCAAACATTAATTCACCTCTTACATGACTTTACTTAGTAGGCATGAAGTTATTTTGCAGTATACACAACCAAAAAGTGAAATTCAACTTCTGTTTTACTAGAAAATCTAAACCATTCAGAGCACAGTATATTTGATCTGATTGATATTGTGAAGGACATAAAGCATAAAGTTCTAAATAATGTAGGCTATTGACCAGTGTGACAAGTTGCACTGATTCTTCTTTGCCGATTGCTTTCGACCATCTAATATCAACATTTCACAGTGCACCGTAATGGCGAGCCACCTAGCATGGTGGCCACAATGCAAGCTCGATTGATAGAATTCAGTCTGCACCGAAGATAGGATTAGACACATTACACTATTTACTGACTAGTGTGCAATCGAAAATATCCAATACAGTCCTACAGGAGATCAATCGTGAGGCCGAATAGCTCAGTGGTAACGTCTCTGACTGCAGCACTGGGTGACGGGGGTTCGAATCTCGGAAAGGACATGAGTTCCTTCACTGTTGCAGATACGCCTTGTTGATGAGTGTCAACTAGCACGAAACCTAGGTCCAAGGCTTCCTGCTGATTGCCTCCAACCATCTAATACCAATAAATCTTAATCCACACCTTCGACAGGCTTAACTTTTAACCACCGAAATGGTTGTCCGGTGTTAAATCCACCTTGAACTGCATAACTAGAACATTTGTTTAATATGAGGTTGTTTCTACAACAGTTGTCATTGTTCGTCCGAGAAGACAGTCATCTAGTTTGAAGGAACTATGACGGAATCGAATGGAAAACAATCCTCAGATGTTTATCATAATTATAAATCTAGTAGAGAATATCTGACGCTTTTGTTTAGTTTTATTTCTAATTGGCAAAGACCAGACTAGAAATTACACAAACAAAAAAGAAGGATAATTACTAAATATAACAATTATTCATAGAATGAGATCATACACCCTTAGACAGTAGTTGAAGAACTGTACTTTGTTTTTCAATTAAATAAGTTGTCAGGTAGGTGAGTCTTTAAAATTAATAAACCATACAAAAAATGTATATCATTTAACAAAAGTTTAGAGTTATTTTGAGGGTAATTAACTAATAATCAACTTTTTACCGTCCTATTATTATTAGAACAGTTCACTGGGTTTAACGCAAGAAGTTATATAGTGATATATTTGATTTGAATAATGCAAGAATACATTGAGGAGGGTAAAATAACATCAATACCTTTTTGTTAGTTCTCCTCAGTAGTATACAACTATGGACAATTGAATATCATTGTACAAAATATTCAAACACTTAAGTGATTCAAGTATTGGTGTGTAGAGATTTAGTTGATTGATTACAGGATTTCATCGTGAGCTGACATATGTTAGATGACCACTGGAAATCATGCAGGGAGTACTGGACAGCTATTTCGTAATAGTTCGGTACTCTTCAGCAGTACGAACCCACTGGGGCTCGAATCCAGGATCTTCTGGTTAGAAGGCTAGCAAGCTCGTAGACCATTAATCCACTGGGACCCGATCCAATGGCCCATGAATTCTAACTTCTGCCAATTCACGACATAGCGCGACCGCTAGCGGGAAGTCGTGACCGGTAGGGTGCAGCAGGTCGGGTGTGAGGACAAATAACCGCCGAAAACATTGGCAAAAAAGGAATTTTTCATGCTTTG